AGTTTCCTTCACCTCACTTGTGATTGTTCGACTCCATCCAGTCTTTTTGTCTTCCTCTTTCATGTCCTTGAAACCCTCGAGACATTTTGCTAACTCTTCATACGCAGTCATCGAATGAGCCTTCACCTCGTCCATATACGCACAAAAGGTCTGGTAGTAATCGCTTTTGTTGTAAATTTTCAATATTTCGGACTCTTTTCTCCACGGAACAAAAAGAATACATAGCTGACGATAGAAATCGTTCATGGCGGTTGCATCACAATCATCGTGCTCGGGGATATAAAATCGACCGATCTGTATGTAGCTTGTTACTAACTACTTCATATTATTGATTCACCTTTTGCTTGGTCTTTTTCAGAAACTGTCTTTTTCAGAAACTTATCACATTGCTTTAAAGTTGAAGGGTTTAATGTTGTTATGTTTCCATGTGAAAAGAAAGGAGACCATTTGTCACTCGTTTCACTTCCGTCTTCCAAATCATTCTCTCCAGAATATTCTTTAAATAGTGGTTTTTCTGGAATGATACCAATGAGAACACACCTCCTCCTTTCCCGGTGCAATTGAAATTTGTTGCGATGTTGTAAAGCGAAAATTCGTTCAGAGACTTATGCCGATTCGGGTAATACGTGTCAATGAGGTTTGTCACAAAAACGGAAGTTCCGTCACTTTCACGGTTGTGTTTCGGATTCAGTAGCCGAGACCGTTTATCTCTTTGTCCTTCAAAGAAACACTTTTGACTTCGTTAACCATGGCACCCTACCGTTGGGATCCATACTTCCGCTCTATCAAAGCAAAAGTTGGGATGTCCGAGAAGGTCATCGGCCATCTCAGGACCACCAACTTCACGACTATTGATTTCATCGATTCCCAAAGCGTAAAACAACTGATTTCGAGTCATCGACTGCTGATTCGTGCTTAACTCTTCCATTTTCTTCGCCACCTCTCCCTTAAAACGCACTGATGAGACTAGTCAATCATGTTGAAATTACTTTTGTGGTGTAGGCGGTGACATATGACAACACGTTCTTATTGTTGCCAATAAATTGGATATCAATGTTCCCTTGCCAAGCGAGCAAAATTGGAGCGGAGTAATCATTTATAAATTCTTCGCCCGGGTTTCGCGAAATCTCATAGCACCGTTTAGTTTTAGTCAGATTGGATTCTGCTGATGACATCACAGCGGTCTTGGCTCGAACTGTAAACAATGATGTACTTTTTCTCTCTTAGAAAAACTAACTGGAACGAGGAAAATTGAACCGACAAGTTCTGAATACTTTCCCTCTGACTTTTCGGTATCTCAGACACGTTTCATTGTGGTTCGGGTGATGCATTTGATGCTCCTGAACTAGTCTGAACAGTTCGGCTTCAGATTCATCCGGTTTACGAGCCGTGATGTGCGAATCAATAAACTCTCTGATTTCTTCAGCGCATTTTTTTTAGCTCTCCACCATTTTTAAAATCTCTACCATTTTTTTTAGCTCTCCACCATTTTTAAAATCTCTACCATTTTTTTTAGCTCTCCACCATTTTTTTTTAAATCTCCACCATTTTTTAAAATCTCCACCATTTTTTTTTAGCTCTCCACTATTTTTTTTAGCTCTCCACCATTTTTTAAAATTCCACCATTTTTAAAAATCTCCACTATTTTTTTAGCTCTCCACCATTTTTTTAAAAATCTCCACCATTTTTTTAAAATCTCCACCATTTTTTTAAAGATCTCCACCATTTTTTTAAAGATCTCCACCATTTTTTAAAATCTCCACCATTTTTTAAAATCTCCACCATTTTTTTACATCCGAGGACGGCGAGACCGGAGACGGCCGAAGCCACAGAAACGAAAGTGCTGCTACTCATCGTGAGGATGAAGTATATCCGATTGCGGGAAAACTCTTCTTTTATACAGATCGCCTGTTTACTTCCGAGGTCATCTCGCGGAGATTCCTATTACCTTTCCCATTTTCGGCTCCTCCTAGTTACTAATATCGGATAGAAGACCGCCGTGGGGAGGATTCTCTTTGCTAAACGTAATTAGTTCACATGAACAGTTTCCCAATTCGATTCGTCTCCGTCTCTCTGTTTTTTTCGAATTTCTACATAAACCTGCGGTATACGGAAGCGGAACAAAAAAACGCCGGCGGTATAAGGAAAACAACGCCGAACAGTCGGCCTTGGGTGGTCATTGAACTCGATGACCAATTCTGGTGAATCCTTATTCGAGAAACTGTAAAAAAACACTTGGCAATTGGCTCACTATCAACTCGGGTTGAAAAAAACTCCAGAATACTTTCAATTCAGGCAGATTATGTTCAGCAAAAGCATTTGTCGAGGAGGGGAATCGAACCCCAAAAAGATATTCAACGGCTCACAAGGCCCACGCAGGTGAAATGCGGAGAGAGCATATGCTTCGAAAATGCCTCATAATGTCATATCCCGCGGAGGATAAACAAAGGATGTTTTCCATTTTTGTTGACCACAATGCCTGAAAGAAGGCTGACTGGAAATAAAAATTGGGTTTTCTATTGACAAGATTAACTTTTATGCAATCAAAAAATCACTATTGTTTTCCGAATCATTCTCCTCCGGCCACTTCTTCACCGACTGGAACACCTCCGCTGTGGTTCCCCTTTTCAAAAGTTTTTGGAGTGGAAGGCTTTGAGAATTTGGCGGCATTTGAGTAAGGCGAGGATAGTGATTGTATTTACATGATTTTGAAATGTTAATTTGTTATCTAAGGCGAATCCTAGGTCTCTGATAGAGTTTTTATTGACGATTGGATTGCCGTTGAGGTGATACGAGCATAGCGGGTTAGATTTGCCAAAATGCATTACCGCCGTTTTATTTTCGGCGAGATTTAGGCGCCATACGTCGCACCAGGCGACAACAATGTTGATGCACTTTTGCAGGGTTATCGGGTTAGAAGAGAGTATCTTTAGGTCATCCGCAAAGGCGGTCACGTGTACTTCGGACGGAAAACTTTCAAGAAGATCGTTAATGAAAATCTCCACCATTTTTTTAAAGCTCCACCATTTTTTTAAATCTCCACCATTTTTTTAAATCTCCACCATTTTTTTAAGGCTCCACCATTTTTTTAAATCTCCACCATTTTTTTAAAAATCTCCACCATTTTTTTTAAAAATCTCCACCATTTTTTTAAAATCTCCACCATTTTTTTAAAAATCTCCACCATTTTTTTAAAGGCTCCACCATTTTTTTAAAAATCTCCATCATTTTTTTCAAAATCTCCACCATTTTTTTAAAATCTCCACCATTTTTTTAAATCTCCACAATTTTTTTAAAATCTCCACCATTTTTTTAAAGGCTCCACCATTTTTTTAAAAAAATCTCCACCATTTTTTTAAAGGCTCCACCATTTTTTTAAAAATCTCCACCATTTTTTTAAAGGCTCCACCATTTTTTTAAAAATCTCCACCATTTTTTTAAAAATCTCCCACCATTTTTTTTAAATCTCTACCATTTTTTTAAAAACCTCCACCATTTTTTTAAGGCTCCACCATTTTTTAAAATCTCCACCATTTTTTTAAAATCTCCACCATTTTTTTAAATCTCCACCATTTTTTTAAATCTCCACCATTTTTTAAAATCTCCACCATTTTTTTTAAGGCTCCACCATTTTTTTAAAATCTCCACCATTTTTTTAAATCTCCACCATTTCTTTTTAAATCTCCACCATTTTTTTAAATCTCCACCATTTTTTTAAGGCTCCACCATTTTTTAAAATCTCCACCATTTTTTTAAATCTCCACCATTTTTTTAAAAATCTCCACCATTTTTTAGGAAAGGAATTTTTCGAGAACACACACTGGTGTTTTCCTTCAAAACTGATGTTTAGGTCGCTCTCCAACCACCCCACAATTATTTTCTAGAGATTCGATCCCTTAAACATCTTCATCTACTTGTTCCGTTCTTATCCGCCCATTCCCAGCATTCTCACCTCAAAAGGCCGCGCCCGAACCAATTCAAATCAAATGAGCACGGCGGCTCAATGACAGATGAGCTCAACTGCACGCAGTTCGGAGAAGAATTCCCATTGCCGGGGACCGATGAGGCGAGCAACACTACCATTCCTTGGCTCATCACCACTTTAGTCGCGTAGGTCCCCCCACCCTTGAACTTTTCCAACCCGTTCACTTTTCAGAGCATATCGGCCATATCACTATTATCTGTTCACAACTATCATTATCTGTAGCTTCTTCATAAACATTTCAATAGTCATCGTGTTGACACGAAAAGAAATGAGAAGTGCTGGAGTTAATGTGACGATGCTTCTTATCGCAGTTTGTGATTTCGGGTGCTCAGTTTCAGCTCTAACACAAACTTTCTTACGTGTTACAGAGTGAGCCCTTTTTCTGTTCAACGAGAATGCTCAACTACACGTTTTCAGCAGCTACATGTCCTATCGGAACGCGTACATTCAAATCATTTCGGATTATCTGGCAGTTGCATTCCACGCCTCTTCTCTTTATCTGGCTGTTGGCATGGCTTTCTGTCGAGTTATGTCTCTGAATTTGTCTAATCACAATCGGTGATAATCCTGTTCAGCTTTCTGATTATATTCTGATTGCAGAGATCGATGGCAGACGCCGAAGTACGCTTTCAGGATGGCTTTAATTCTGTGTACACCTGTATTTTTCGTTGCCTCGTTCGTTCTGTTTTTGCATGACATCGAAGAGTACGTTTTGATTAGTAAATGAAAAGAAAGTTATAACAACCCCTAATGTTGATGTTTAATTTTCAATTCAGATATTTCAGAACAGAGGAAGATGGCATATATCTTACTGTGGCAGAGTTCACAATGGAATACAATTGTTTATTCCTCAAACTATCGCTGATAACATCTGGAACGGCGTTCAAGGTTCCCCAATAATAAAGTTTGCAACGTCATCATGAGGTGATTTTGCAGGCTATTCCATGCATAGCCATGTTTTTCTTTTCATTATTTCTCCTCGGACGGATAGAAGAAGGAAAGAAGAGTACAATAAGCATAAAGAATAATCATGAGGATAACAAGTCTGTTTTGTTTGACAAATGGACTTTTCGCGGTGGCATCGCTTGCTTAAAAGTTCACGTGTTCATTTCTAAATTTTGCCGTTATAACTATTATGTTAGAAATGAAAAAAGTGGTGACGGATGAACACAGAAATGAACGGAAAAAGCTCGATGAAACCGTGAAGACGCTGATAAGAATGATTAGAAATGTTTGTCTTTCAGGGCGAAAATAGACCGTTCTTCGAAGTTCATTCAAGTGGTTCTTGTAGTTTTCCTGGTCACTGAGTCCCCGCAAGCTCTATTCAGTATCATTGGAGGGTTGTTTCTTATTGATTACATCAAGTTTGTTTCTTTGCACATTATTTCTAAACATTCAGATTTCCAGCTATTATCAGTCCCTCGCGATATTCATGAATATCTTAGCATTTTTCAATACAACCACCAGTTTCATCATCTACAGTGCGTTGTCTGCCAAATTCCGAAAGCTGTTCGCTCAGATACTCTTGCCAGCAGCTGTGACAGAGAAGATTTACCGGGTAAATAATATATGAACTCTGGATAGTTTAACACGTTTTGATATCAGAAGAAAAGCACAGTAGTCGTCCACTCGGTTGTTCACTCGTCTCGGACTCTCTGATCCTTCGATCTGCTTTCAAGCCCCACGATTAGAAGAATGCAAACAATATGAAATTATAGCCTGTTTGGACAAACACGAACCGCATTCAATTCCTGTTCCACGAAGTAGTTTGAGACATCAAGAGAGCACTCCGAGTTTGCACATTCTACGAGATAAATGTTAACGTATGCAAACGAATGAAACATCGCTCGGGGAGAAGAAAAAGAAGATGCAATGAATCCTCCCTTAGCAAGTACAAGTGTGTTCTCGTGACCTCCATGAATCGCAAATCTTCCCGCCCGATCAAACTCGTAAACATCCGCGTTTTGCTGTTTTTTTTCCGTCTCCGCAAGCGATTTCACGCGCGGAGAAGAATGCTTTACTACTCTTCCATTCCAGTCGTCTTCGCCACCCCGTCAACATTGTTCCATTCAGCTGGAACCAAGCAGTAGCGGCGACTCAACTTGAGGCACACTACGCTCAGCTGTTCGTCGGTCCGCGGACTGGTCGAGTGCCGGCTACCAAATTGCCATCAAGCCACGCGCACTTCTCCGCGTCTCTTCGCGTTCTTTGCACTCTCTTCCCCTTCCTCTCATTCAACATTAAAAGAGAGAATAGGAAAAGAGCAGGGGAAAGCGAGTGACACAGACGGCCGCAGAGTGCACACACCAACCCGCCAATGACTAACAATACCAGTGCGGAATACTTTCCGGATAACTTTTCTTCGTTTTGTGTCTTTCCTCCAAAAAGTTTATGTTTCTTCGCTCTTCCCTTCGATTGTTCATTCCCATGCACGATTCCCGCACACTTGTCACTTTTGCAACCCAATTCACAGCCGCGTTGGGAGAGAAGCTTTTCCCGGCGCACGTTACTTTTATCAACAATATCAACCATCGGTGGTGACTAAATATTTTCAATGATTCATCTGACTTTTTTGTTTTCTTTCGAAACGAAATGTTTTGGAGTATGAATACGAATGAGACAAACCTTTTTCTCAAGGTTTCATTCATTCTCAAACGTTTCAGTTGTTGTCACATGACCCACTTGAGTACGGTCTCGTTCGCCACGTCATTCATTCATTTCTCGCTCCCGAAAATAAGAAAAGACACGGCAAAACGAGTAGATCGAACGATCATTTGGCGGCACAAGCACCCTCCCGTCCTCCTCTTCTTGTCCAGTTCTCGTGGGAAATTGCACCCATTGATTGGCCACGATTCCGATTCTCTCACCTTTGTTTTCCGCAATTTCGAAACACTTGTTTTCGGATCTCGAAAAACTAGAAAACGGAGCCGTTCTAGTGCCAAAGTCAGCTGTCGTCCGAGTCCGGATCACTGGTCAACCTTCCCCCGTCACCCGCCGCGTCGTCAATTTTGTTCCGTAGTTTGTGAAAGTCACCTGTAGCAGTCTTATGCAAATAGTGCCTTCGCACTCCCGAATACTATTCCTTTCCCAACACAGGTTTCCCCCCACTTCACACTGTTTTTTTTTGAGCGACTCGAATGATTTTAACCAGACTTGGCGGAAATCGATCCAGCCCGCCCCGTTTAGGCATGTTCTGAAATGTTAGCAGCACTGGAACCCGGTCCGACAAGTTTAGTTTTTACTAAAAATTATGTGTTGTTCGAAGCGGGCCGTCGAAGAGAAATCGAGTTGCGTGCAAAACACTTTTTTGTTTGCTCAGTCACACATTACCAGATGTCGGGCGGCCTCCGCGTCGTTTTTGCTCCGCTTTCGTTTGAATTAAACATTGAGAAAGAACCGTTCATTCTGTTAGACTAGGGCGCAAGAACGAAGACGTCTTTATTATTGGTAACATAAAAATGCGAGCGACAACGACAAACGTACTAAGAAGCGAGAAACGCAGAAAACTGCGCAGGATTGTATGGTTGGCGATTGCAAGTAAATGAGCGAGCGAGAGAGAGAGAGAGAGAGAGAGAGAGAGAATGATATTGTCGATTGGATATATAATAAGAGAATTCGCCATTGTGAATGTACATTAACGTCTTCTAACGAAGGTCTAAACGTGGAACTCTAATTCGGATTCTTTCAATTAGTTTTTATTGGACTTGCCAATGATGTGATCATGTTATAAAGTTTCTAAACCAATTTTGAATGATTGCCTACTGATTGTCGTGTCGAGTTGTCGAGTCCGGCTCGTTGATTACTGTCGTGGTTGCATTCGTCCTATAAGCTGCTCGGCAGTGTTGAGAACGTCCTGCTTCGAGCAGTGAACGAGAGTGTGCCCGAGGCTTCTGTCGCGTGGCTTGGCCACAGTCTCCACTCTTTTCGGCACGTTTTTCTTCTTCCTGAATCAATCAATTCATTCATTTCGTTGCTTCTAATCAACTTACTTGAAGTAGAGCCTATCCCGCATATGATTGTAGAAGACCGTAACACCGCCTTGGTCGGCCGGAATCATGCTGACCAGGTCCCGGACGGTCCGGATCGGCTTGCCCGATTCGGTGACTGTTTGGAAGCGAGGCTTGAAACGGAAACGTGTCTTCTTTGCCCTGAACATTCATTTCATTCGGCACAATCTGTCAGCCTTACGGAGCATTTCCTTCTTTCGTCGCCTCGGCGATCTCTCTTTGGACAGCGGTCTCCTGCTCAAAGTGCTCATGGCTGAAGAGACGGAGATTCTAGTGTCTTCCTAAAGTCTACAAACTCACATCAATCTAATGATCTGGTGCTCGACGGCTCCTAGGTCGGCTTGAACCACTTGAACGTACTGTCCCTCCTGATTCATTTCTCTATGCTCCCTAGAAGAAGGAGAAGCGTGATCTTAGCTAGAAATGTTCTGTAAGAGCGAGAAACACAGACTAACTATGGTCGAATCGATGTGAAAGGCGCAGTGTATCTCAAGAAGAGGCATAGACATCACACATTCGGAGGAGCGGTTATCATCACCGTCTGTCCGTTCTGCCTAGCCGTTGTCTCTGCCGACCCGACCCCTCCAGAACTCACGGTCTATTCCTACGGGCGTCCATCTCTCCGGTCGAGTCGAGAAGCCGCCCCTACGATCGTTGTCTATCTGCAAGCAGTCAGAGTCAGAGTCGGAGTCAGATGATCAGAGGGTCGGAGTGTAATCCGTGGAAGGAAGGAAGGAAGAAGGAATAAGCAGGCAGCAACGGGCGCCGCAAGTGAGCGTGGAGATGTCCTCTCTCGTCTTCTTCGCCCACAAGGACAACAACAACACTCGTGGTGCTCTCTTTCTCTCCTCATCATTATTTTAGGCAAAGACACCGGGGAGGTCGGAGCGGGCGGCGAGAAAAGGAGGCGAGAGGAGCGAATGCCGTGCACACCGCGACGTCGGCGCCTTCGTTTCCTCCGTATTGTGGGCCTGTCTGCGTCTACCGGCACTGCTGCGTCGTCCCCACCGAGAGTGTACCAGTCGTATCTCGATCTGTGTCTTCGTCCTTTCAATATAGCCCTATAACGAGATGCTAAATGTGAATCCAGCAAGGCTCGAAGGCAACCCGCCGAAAAAGGAGGTTCGCTCCCGGACCGAGGCGTGCTTCTCTGTGTTTCTCTGTCTCATTATATGGATTGCTCATCGATTGCATTAGCCCGGTTTCTTCTGGGAGCGAGAGAGGAATTAAGAAATGGTGGCACTGGTTGAGAATGCACAAATCTTCGCGGCTTGACGCATACTTGAAGAGACGGCAAAGGCGGCTCTCCGCTTGGGTGGCCTAGAACTACAGCCCGGGGACTAGAAACGGAACGGCGTTATTCGATTTCATAACTGTCCGGTTTTTGTTGGCGTCTGTGTTTATGTTCTTTTACTGTCAATATCCGCTCAGTTTGCATTTCATTTCAATATTCACACAAACACGAGCCGAAGCTTTCAGGGGTAATGAGTGCAGACGTGATCAAACGGTCGAACCCGGCCGACGACTACGAACTGCTGCAGCGGGTCGGCTCCGGCACGTACGGAGAAGTGTACAAAGCCCGAGATATCAGGTGATTAATCGTGTCAAAACAGAAACAAAAAAAAACGCACAAATTTTATTGCAGAAGCGACACACTGGCAGCTGTTAAAGTGGTCAAGCTGGAGGCGGGCGACAATTTCGCGGTCATTCAACAGGAGATAATGGTGATCAGAGAATGCTCGCATCCGAATATTATAGCCTATTTTGGCAGTTATATCAGAAGGTGAGAGTTGAAAATAATGAAAGAGAGGAACGAAATGGAGGTTTGTTTCAGGGATCGACTGTGGATTGTTATGGAGTACTGCGGAGGAGGGAGTCTTCAGGACATTTATCACTGTAAGCATCAGTAATGAACGTATCGATCGATCAGGATTCACTTTTTCAGTGACTGGACCTCTCTCCGAACTGCAAATTGCATTCGTCTGTAGGGAGACTCTGCGTGGACTGGATTACTTGCACAATATGGGAAAAGTAGGTCAATATTTCTGGAAATCGATTCGAACCCCCCTATTCAGATTCACCGTGACATAAAGGGCGCCAATATTCTGCTCTCCTCCAACGGCGATGTGAAATTAGCCGATTTCGGAGTCGCTGCACAGATCACAGCCACCATTGGAAAGAGAAAATCGTTCATTGGAACACCTTACTGGTAAATTCATTTCAATTTTACTGAAACTGACGTGAGTTGTTTTTTCAGGATGGCTCCTGAGGTGGCGTGTGTAGAAAAACGTGGCGGTTACGGAATGCAATGCGACGTCTGGGCCACCGGAATCACAGCGATAGAGCTCGGAGAGTGCCAGCCACCGCTTTTCGACTTGCATCCAATGCAAGTTCTCTATCTGATGACGAAAAGTGGATACAAGTCTCCGCATCTGAAGGACAAGCATCGGTGGTCTCCGCTTTTTCACGATTTTGTTCGTCAATGCCTCACGAAGAATCCGAAGAAAAGGCCTTCTCCGGAGAAGTTGCTGACCACTCATCCATTCGTGCTTGGCTCCCTCTCGGCCAGAATGACCAGAGATTTGTTGGATAAGGTGAATGGAGCACCAGCGGATGTGTACGACCGAATGTCCCGAACCGCCGACGATCTGACCGAAGAGGAGTCCGACATGGACGACGCTCCCCCTCTGCTCACGCCGGACGCAGCTCCCCTCCGCATCGGATTGCCCTCTCACTTGAACGGTCTGCGCCTTGACTCAAAGTGCTTGGAGCAGCTGACATCTTCTCCCAATACGTCAGCGATGGAAACAGACCGAATGACTCCAACAGCCACGCCAAGAGCATTGAACCGAGGATATCATTCCGAACGGACACTTCCTGCGAAAGAGATGCCGTCGCTGCCGGACGTCGTCGGAGGAGACGCCCTTTTGCACTGTGGAAACGGTGTGATTCACGACGATGACGAAACGATCCGAGCACCGAGGGCACCGCCACGAACTCTGCGAGCAGCTCAGAAAGCCGCCGCAAATAATGGTGAAAACCGATTCAGTTCGACTTCAATTACATCCACGCCTTCTGACGATGTACCGACGGCCTTTTTCGGAATGCCGATCATTCCGAAAGTTCCGATGGGCGCTTGCTTTTCGAAAATAATGGATGGAACTGATCTGAAAGTGAATTGTGCGGCTTCCTGGGTTCACCCGCTGACCGGAGCACACCTTCTGCTTTTCGGAACCGAACAGGGCATTTACTCATTTGATACCAACTTCATGCCCGACGGAAATCTCACTAGGGTAAGAAAACTTGTGCAATCTCAATCTTCGCAAATTAATTTTTAGATTCATCATCGTCGCTGCTCATGGATGTTCGTCTACTCGGACCGTCTGACTGCCATTCAAGGCAACACTCCCTACCTCTATCGACACGATCTAATTGCCTTGACTCAAAAAAATCTCACACTTAAAATGAGCAAGAACCTGAACAAGATTCCGGAGAAGTACGTCCCGAAGAGACTGGCCATAACTGTCCGAATGCCGGAGACGCGTGGAGCCCTCCAGTGCACGGTGAAACGAGGCGAAGGAGCACAGTCAACTCCTTGTTCCTGTGCTGCGCTGTTCCCAAAACTGTCCATCTCTTCCAGTGGTCAGTCATCTCGTCTTCGTTTTCCTATTTCTAAACTTTAACTCCTTCAGGTACAAACCGATGCAGCAGTTCGTTCTGATGCGAAGCGAACCTCTCCGTGAAGACGTCCGTTTCCCCATTCGGCCTTTCGCTCTTGTCAATTCTCGCACTTCCGACTTTCCGCAATTGTGCATCGGCGTCGGAAAGATGCAAGGTTCCTCGGAGTATCAGTTCAACATGATCAATTTCTGCTCGTCAACTAAAAACTCGGAGTTGAGCGGTGACCCGAACTCGTCGTTCGGCAGTCTGGCCGACGACGAGATGCTGGAAGTGGGAAATATGCATCAAATCGACAAAGACACTCTCTGTTTCTCCTTCCGTAACAAAGTGGTTCTGACTGATTTGGAAGGTTTCGAGCGCCCGAAACCGTCAATTTTTACGTTCAACTTCCACATCGAGTACCTGCACGTAGTCGACAATTCGATTCTCGCGTTCTACTCAAACGGAGTGCAGGGCAGAGATCTGAGGACGAACCTCAACACGCAAGATCTGTGCGATGTTTCCCGTCTGTATAGAGTCATCGGCGACGACAGGTATCCTTTGCCAATTCTCTCCGTCTCATAGTTTCGTGTTTTTTCAGAGTGATCGTGCTCCGATCACAAATGATGAGCTCTCGGAACGCCGGCGACACGTGCGACATTTCCCTTCTGATGGGCCACGCCGACACGCCCGTCCTCTGATTACCAGTCTCTCTCATTCCACTAACACCTTCATCGGGTCTCCCGTATTCCTGTACTCGTCATCATTGTCTGCCTCCTCCTGCTTTCTCCAATCTACCCTGATTCTAGTTGCTCTGCCATCCGTTGCAGCATAATTTCAACATGCATCTTCTTTTCCTGTACTATACAACGGTCGCCCCCGATCTCTCGCTCTTTCCCACCTTCTTCGTGTTCGCTTCTCCTCGATTGCCTTCCCAAAGTGCCCCTCCCATTTTTAGGAACATGTTTATTCGTTTTCTGATTCACTTTCTCAGCGAGCTTACCCCTTTTCTAATTCTCTTTGCTTCCCTTCTCCCCCGTTTTCTTTGTGTATAAATTTATCATGTTAACGTTAATTCTAGAAAATCGGAAACATTGCAAGAAACAGGAACGAGTTTCCGACGAGCACCAAGCCGAGGATGATCGAGAGATTTATCGGAGTCACATTTTGAGACAACATTCTGAATGCGAGCGTGATTTCGCAATGTCGGAGTGATCAGTGCTCACTTGGAGAGATAACTGGGCTGTCTCCTGGGCAAATTCTGACTTTCCGTCGCCGTCTTCGACTTTTTCTTTTCTCCGCCGCTGCCAGTCTGAAAAACAAATGGATCGTCTGATTTGCACGATTTCTCGCTCACCGCAATCTTTGTCATTTCGCGAGCTTCGGATGATCCAGGAATGACAACGAAATATACAAAAATAACATTTAAAAGTTCACGAAAAAATACCGGCTTTATATGAAAAGCAGTTACTATGTAACAGAACAACCAAAACAAGGCAGAATGAGGCTTTAGAAGTGAATATGAATATGCTACAGAACGGGGAAAAGGTATTATGAGACGTCTATGAACACGGGAGCAATAAATTAGGGGGGGAAGCGGGTGAGAAGTGTATATTGGATCATTTCCACTTGATCGACGGATTGTTCAGAGCGGCGATCGCTTTGAACGACTCCACCGAATTGGGTTTCAGTGATTTCGAATAGGAGGCCAAACTCGCTCGATCGCCCTTTTGTGTGAGGCACTCGATGACCATCTCAGGAACTTCGAACAGAACTGCCAGGCGGAGCCGCTCCTGAGCTTCGGTTTCTCCTTTCAGAACACGGTAGAGGAACTGAAATGAAAGGATTTGAGTTGGCTGCGATGAAGAATGACTACGTCATTCGGAGGTGACGGGTGGGATCGTCGAATTATGGTCAGGAGGTTTTGACTGTGGACGGCGCCGCTCCATTTGCTTGTCGTTTTCTTGCCCTTGAACACACCTGAAAATGATCTCTTTTGAAATTAAAATGATATCGCTTGATTACTTTTCGCAGCACTCAGGGACATCGTAATCGTTTTTGGCTGAAGGAACTTGTCAATATCTGGCCAACGGCTTTGCCTGGTGAGCACCGAAACGATAGTTTGGACGGCAAGACGGTCATTGAATCGGATGAGAGTCTGAACGGAGGGAAGCGAAGCGGAGCACGTCTGCAAGAAAGTGCATGAAGATAGGAAAGAAAAGAATTGAACTTACCGGCGAGTCGTCGAAATGATACATGGCCGAGTAATAGAGAGTTGAGAGAGCGGGAAGGCCGATGAGCGAACTGCTTTTTGGGAATTTCCTGAAGTGCTCTCCCTTGCAGCCTGCGTCCATTTTCTGAAAATGAGCAAGGTTCAGCGGAATTTCTCCCGCTTGAATACCTCCATTTGCAATTGAATTTCATAATTTCTCATGAGTGTCTCCAACTGTTTCGCTTCATGTTTCATTTCGGGAATCGAGAAACTTCCGTGTAACATGGTTCGCAGCAACGGAACTCGTTTGTCCGGATTCTTTTTGTACTTTCTAGTTGCTTCGAATTCAATTACTGCTGCATGCTGATACTGACCGACTCCTCTGAAAATTTCTATTGTGCAGCTTTTAGACAGAAAGAATTTGATTATTTGTAAATTAAAATTTACCTCAAGAACTTGTTCATCTTTTCCCACTGTTTAGTTATCTGCAAATGTCGAGTGTAGACTCGACACGCACTTTTTTGAGGGCTCATGACTTTGAAAAAGACGTTCTCATTGAGCGTCCGTTCCAAGAACACAATCGCTTTGAATATCGAGTTATTATCGTGCAACGCGACCACTTGTCTGAGCAGTTCCGTCTTTTCTCGAAGAGAACGGTAGAAATCGAGCGCAACAGGGTGTCCCTGAGTCATTCTGTTCAGCGCCACTTCAATTTGCAGAGGTTGGAATCGCTCATGACGGAGGAGCTGCAATTTTATCTTTTTTATTGAAAATGTAGTTTTGAATTTATTTACATCGTGCTGATCTTTCAGTTTCCGATGTTCTGCTTTGAGACGGGTGTGATCCAGATCCATGGGTCTCGCCTCGCTCGGCATGCTGCTGGCACTTGCTTCTGAGACTACGGACGGGGCGGACTGGAGAACACGAGCCGGCTTTACGTTTTCCGCCAACTTCATGCTTAAAAAGTCGTCGACTATTTTTCCGGTGGCCCGAGGAGAGGTGCTGAAATGCGAGAACATGAAAATTGGTCCACAAGCAAAACAACTCACTCCGTCAGTCGGATATTGGCATTGTCGGAAGCGGCGGCGGCGCGCACGTCGATATAAGGTGGCGCGGCGGTAGTGCCAGGTGTTGGCGTCGGATTCTGGGGACGGACGTACGGCTTCGGGGTCTCATCGCCTCCGAAAAGATTGTCAACGGCCGCCCGGGCTTGGAGCTTTAATTTACGTGATATGCACATTGAAAAGCGTGTATTTATTTCAGCACGGCCGGACAACGAAATTTTAAGAAGAACATTCGGTCACGCGTGAATTCGTTTACAAAAAGAAGAAAATCCTACCTGTTTTGACTGCAAATCATCGAAAAGGCCCGATGAATTCGAGTCCGCTTCGTTCCAGTAACTGTCCTCCGGCAATTCAAATGTGAATTTCCGCCGCATAGCCATTTTTACCGCATTTTTGAAAGCAGTTGTTGGCGAAAAAGATATATATTTTTTCTGAAATTCGATTTGTTACATGATAAATTGCAGGAAACTAGGTGGAGAATGCAAATATACACAAAACTGAAGGGAGTGCAACCGCGCGCACGAGGCTTGCGAAAGCGTGCGCCAGGCTTGCAGGGGGCGTGGCCTTTTTTCGAGCGCGAGTTTAAAACTAAACTTTTTAGGCCAGACTTCTGCTTTTGCTCTTTTTTTCTGCAAACTTTTTTCCTTGATGGAAACTGGCACTTGCATCTTTTTTTTAATGGTTCAACACTTTCACGACTTGACAGACCCGCTATATTTGCGTTGATCTACCAGATTTGACCGCCTGATGAGTGCATTTGATCTGAAACGCGCGAAAAGTTGTATTTTTGATGCAAAAACGTTTTTCTCGTATTTCGATCGACTTTCTGGTTCATTCGGTCTCTTTTCAGCTCGTTCTTTCCCATCTCTACGTAATTCTCAGATTTCAGAATGCAAAACACGCAGATGCCGGCTGTAAATCCATCACACACTAACTTTGCTCCTAGAGCTAACACGCACGATCTGTAAGTTTCGTTCATCGAATTTCTCACTGTTCTTCGTACTTTTAGCTCACAATTGATCAACGCTATAACCGTCAAAGATCCTATATACACGATGCCCATCTCGGTCAAACCGAAAACTCGTGAGCCGGCAACATTCACAGATAATAGGTGCTTTCTCATCCAATTACTTGATCATTATTCATCAATCATATTTCAGGATATATGTCAGCAACATTCCATTTTCTTTCCGTGAACAAGACTTGGCTGCTATGTTTTTCCCGTAAGAAATATCCGACTCTTTAGTTTTTACTTATCTTTCCCCGTTCAGATACGGACGTGTACTGAGCGTCGAAATTGTCACGAACGATCGCGGATCCAAGGGATTTGGTTTTGTCACTCTCGACTCGATCGATTCCTGCGAGAAGGCACGCGCCGCTCTCCACGAGTCTCACGTCCAGGGAAGAATTATTGAAGTCCGCAGAGCAACACCGACTAGAAGAAAGATTCCGAACAACCCGCAGAATGAGCTGGTTCCCCCTCCGAAGCTTTGTGTTGACCTTCGCGCGCCACACAATCAGTGGCGAACGGAGCAGCAAGATCTGGAGAACATGAAGCGATTTCCAGCTGCTGGATTCATGATGGCTCCATTCAACGACGGAATCTTCGGTCCACCCACCACTCGGAATCCGTTCGCCGAGCTCGGCGCCTTCAGTGCTCCACTTCGATGCATGAAGCACAGCGAACTGAAGCTCTCGTCGAACGGAGACTACTTCTGTAAAAACGGCGAGCCGACTACGGATAACAGCCTTCTGATGTGTATAAACGCGCCTAACAACACGTGTAACAGAACGTGTGACTCGACGAAGCACGAGCTGTCGGACGTCGATCTCAATTCGGTGTTCCCGGTTCATCTTCGCGAACAGATCACTGCTCTTCTCGACACATCTAACCACACGAACGGAAGCCATCACAAGAGGGCCCCATCCATTGGATCGTCCGGCTCTGGAGTGAGATCATCGGAAAGTGAAACCGCTTCAGGTGAGCGATTGAAATGTAGGAAATCTATTTTACGGCAAATTTGCAGATGAAGAGCTCCAATGGACTCCGAATAGCAGCCCGGATTTGCTCGCTTCGCTCTACGAAGGTTCGACGTCTTTCCACGGAAAACCCACGTCTCCTGACAAATCCCCGTCCCACTAATCATTTGTCACTCTAACTCACTGCGTGGTTTGCATTAATTTTCTGCCCCCCCCTTTTTTTCTATAACTCAGACTCAAATGCTTTAAATTTACGGAATCGTTCTGTACAGACACACTCGTTGTCATGTCAAATGATTTCATGCCAAATGTGCCTTTCCTGTTGCAACAGTCATTTTTATCTCCTCCCCCGGTGCTATTTTAAATGCTCATAGCATTAACCTATTTTGACATTTCTCACAAAACCACCACTTCTGGATGGCCAACACTCGATACTACCCATTAACCTTGATTTTTCACATTATTGGATGTATCAATCTAAGTGCTGCCATTTTTGTATTTTATAGAATTCTGTCTAGCAGTTATTTTGCATTCTTGTTACTCTCATCATGAAATGAAGAGCGCCCCCGAAAATGAGAAAATGAGTTTATTGGCCCGTTAGAAAAAGTATCACAGTTGCGAGAATTCGTTATCCCGATGAGTCATTGAGAGGTCGAAAGTGATTTTGCGACACCGTTTCTCGTGTTTCCAGTTGTGATCGGACGACTCGCTCTCCTCGAGAATGACGTCGTGCGACACGGCGGGAAGAGAAAAAGATGAGGGTTGCCGGCACTTGGGGGCAGCTGAAATCTCAAGTGGCAAGTTTTTTGATGGTCCGCGAAAGTGCTCACGGATCTGAAGAGTCGGCGGCGAGGAAGGGTACAGACTGCTTCGTTCCTCATCGTTTCCGATCTCTCTCCGACGACTCCGCCGCCGTTTTGACAGAAAAGCGAACGGAGAGAGCAGGCGGGAACTCTTGGACTTGCGGCAGCCGCCAGTCACCCAGCAGAAGAGGCACGAGACGGGGATGAAAATACCTGCAAAATGAACTCGTTTCTCACGCATTCTCTCACCGAAAACGAACAAAGCATTGCCACGTCACAAAAATAGATTCCCCGTTTGCGTCAATTCTCCCCCGGCAGCTAAAAAACAACCTAAACCCTGCGCACGGATTATCCTTATCGCCTTCTCTTTTTCTCTGTGACGAACTAAACAAACAGGGTCCGTGCTGCTGCAATTACTCCCCGTTCCGCCCGAAAAAGAAAAACAGAAACGGAACGACGACTTCTGAGTTTCTTTCTTGTTTTCCCCGTTCTAATTGCTGCTTCGGTAGTATCCGAGTCTATTCCGGTTCCGTCGACCGGGATCATCTCTGGTCGGCGCCCTTACCCGTCTCAATAAATTTGATTATGCTTGGAGCGTCGGCGGTCCCAACACGCACTTTCGGTGTGAAAGAAATGAGCACGAACCTGTGAAGATGGCGAAAAAAATGACGGCGAGAAAAGCGAAGAAGTTGAGTTGGCACACAAGGTTCGGAAGATGACCGGTGCAGTAGGAGACGAGGGATCCACATTCGGCGGTGCACTCTTCCTGCAACGTCATCAGACTGCTTATATGGCCTCATTTCATCGGAAATGCGTCCCTCCCTCTCTCTATCCCTCTCATTTCGACGAATTGCTACCGCCTACACGTTTCGGTGGGAGACAAAGTGATCTTACGTAAAGCGGACAGGTGCAACTGGATGCTCACTCACCAATGATGAATAGACTGGATAAATGGCGTCTATGGACATACTCAATCCATTTTAAACGTTTCTTGAAGAGATCTGAAAATAAGTGGATTAAAGGGGTGACGTGATGTTGAAAAGAGGGAAGACCGCGGGTAAAGGGTCAAAAATTGGGAGGAATGCGAAAACAGAGTGGCTGAAACGGTGCCACCAGAAAAAGCGATGTTTGGGAAAAGTTGCCCCGGCGGACGGATGGAGGCGGGTCTGAATGAAGGGAGGGGAAGAAGAAGAAGAAGAAGCGGTTGGGAAAGGAAAGATGCAAACAGAAAAGAGTCGGCGACGAGTGAGACGTGGCCACAAGTATGTGGGGAATAATAACGGATCGAACGGAAAAAGGAGAAGAGATCGGACGGATGCGGGTGCACAGCGCCGGATGAGAAAACTTTGTGAGCACTTCACACACCACAAAAAAAGAAACGTCTTTGATCACTTCCTCTTAGTGATAACTGACTTTAAAGGGAGTAACCGATGCGGACTTCCGCTCAAAAATCATCCACATTTACGACTCATTTTCGACCTTCCGTGCGTGCCAAAACGGAAGTATTCAGTCGAATGAGTTATGCGCTTACGTGAGGAGTCAATCTCAGGTGAAAGTCGTCTGAAATATTGATGCGCGACGAGGCGTCCGAACTCGCCGAGACCTTTTGTGGGTGCCATGAGCCGCGAATAATGGAGGGTGTGAAGGAGAGCAAAGAAGGGGTTTCCTGCAGAGTGGAAAACAGGAAGAGCGCTGAATTATAGGTTTCCTACCGAGTTGGGCTACGTGTCTGAAAGCTCGAAGAAAAATGATTTTGTGACGCCGCGCGACAACTTTTTGGCCGTTTATTATTAGTAAGGAAGCGTCGGGACGTCGCCGCCAGATTTGATTCGATTTTCGGAGAGAAAGAAGAGTGCACCCTTTTCAGACCGACATGCTGGGGTCCAGGAAGTGTCTGGAAAAAGGGAATTCTCTGCTGACTCTGTGTTCCCAATTGATTTTCTTTTTCTTCAGACGCTTTGATGGGAATGGTCAGAAAACCACGTCAGTCTGTTCCGTCTACCTGTTCAAGCATCCGCGTAGCCAAAATGTTCACGCTCAGCAGAAATGAACCAATTGAATTACACGGGCGCTCGAAAAAATCAGTCGATTACCGCATATTTCTCTGGCCCATAGCTATCAGCATCAAAGCGAAACCATTGACAAAAATCTGATATGGACCCTCATCATTCCCTTTCTCACTCTTCCCATTTACATCGAAGCAGCCTACTGTTTGTTCTCGAGCAATAAGAAGTTGCATCAGCACTACGTCTCCATTCTCACAGACCACGTGGCACTGTATGGATTCGTCAATGTGTCCACTTTACTGGATACGTACATGTTTTAGATCATTCATCGGAGAAACCTTTGGGCTCTTTCTGATGCGACCAGTCGTCATTCTACCCAAAGTCGGTTTGTACTTCTCTTATATTTAAACATTCACAATTTCATACAACTAATAATACTTTTCCTGCTCTATCAAATCAACGCGTCCACAATGATTCATCTTCTGTTGTTTCGTATAAAAAACATCTTGCCGCTTATCGTTACTCGTTACTAAAAGCAGGCTGTCCGATTGGGGAACCTGTTCATTTGCGGAACCTTCTTCTCCTCCGTTCTCTGGCTCACTAACTTTGCTCTTCTTTACGAGAATCAAGACATGGCAAAGTTTTCGGGTTTCAAGTAATGAAAGGATCAGTTCCGAACAATCTCTGGACATATTGCGACTTAGAGAGAGAACCGCAGAACGATTGCATTCAAAGTTTTGAATAGACATACAGAATGCTTTAAGGCTTTCATTTTAATCAGTTTTCTATTAGTCCCTTTCGTCACGTTTATCGTTGGTTTGAAGAGGAGACGGAACAATCCGGGTAACTAAAAGTTTGACTGAAAAATATCTGGAAACTAATCCTTTTCAGTGCTTTCAATGACACTTGCCATAACTCACGGAGCAGCAGCTACTCTGGCAGTCATCTTTGCGAACAAACTATACCGAACCGCTCTATTTTCACATTTGGAGCACGGTGAGTTGGAAGGAACAAGAACCAAGAGCAAGGAATGTTACTGAATCGTTTAGCATACCTAATTGTCCCGTTTTCAACAAGAGATCGCGTGCTTCCGCCGCCGCGATTCCGAATGTCGTTTTTTGAGAAGTGTGTCCTGCCTACACATTGGCTACGTTTCGAAGTTCAGTCTGAATCACTATCTCAAGACACGGATAATATGATTGGAAGCCACGCGAAAGAGCCGTGCCGCCCGCTTTGAATTGCAAGCTGATTACGGGCGAGTGACTGGCTGACTTCGGTTATAAAAAGTATTTGAAGAGGTAGTGGACAACCAGTAAATAAAGAAATGGAGGCGATCGTGGAAGAACAAAATCGCATCTATTCGGTTTACTCGACTATCATTAAGTGCATTCCGATCATCACGGTTCCGATCCATTGCGAAGCGATCTACTGCGTTATCAAGAGAAGTCCCGGTTTCCAGTTACACTATACAATTATACTGACTGTTCACATTCTCGGGTAATCTTATATTTTCAACATTCTTTGACAGCTAGTTTCAGATGTCTCTGGGAAGAGTTCTACGGTTTCCAAATGTTCCGTCCGATGGTTTTCATTCCTGTAGTTGGAATCTACGCTGATGGGATTCTCTCAATGTTCGGGGTCCATCCGTTCATTCAACTCTGCGGAATCTTCTTCGCCGTTCAACTCAACGCCGCCATTCTGACACACATCACCTTCTACCGCATGAAAATAATCATTCCAATGTCCTTCCGCTATTATTATCGCGTTATTCGATTCGGCATTTTCGCAACCGTCCTCATCTACGTGGGCGCTGTTCTCTCGGTGTCCACTCTCTTTCTGCTAGTGGAAGATCAGATAGAAGCAAAGAATTACTTATATGCGGTATGGAATCATAGTGTTAATCTAATTCAAACGAAAATTTGCTTTGCAGACTCTGCGACCACTTCCCAGTGTTTTCTGGTCTGACAAATACATGGTCTCCACTTCCCGCAATCCGAATGTCTCAGTATTTTTGATCTGTGGTGCCGTATGCGTCGGTTTCTACGTGTTTCTCTGCATCACTCTCCCGTCGCTCTGCTTCATTATACTCCACCGAACACGGCATTCTCTTTCTGACAAAGTGATCCGCGCCCAGAGAGCGTACCTCAGGACTATCCTTCTGCAGGTTCGTTCGATTCACGAAAAACTCCTGAAGAACACTTGCAGGTCGGCGTGGTGATTCTCTGCACGATCATGCCGTTCTGTGTCTTCTTTGCCGGAATAGCCAATCTTGTTACCAACCCAAGTACCTCCCGACCCCCCTTTTTGCGTACACCTCATCCCTCTCTTTTCAGTAATCATCCCCGCTTCTCTCATCTTTTCGCTCTGCCACGGCGCGGCGTCCACCCTCATCCACCTGCTCTCCAATAAGCCGTTTCGCGATACTATGAAAACGCAGCTGGCATGGGGTAACGTCTCTTTCTCGCGAGTACTTCATTATCGTCCACATTCCAGTCATATGTTGTCTGACGTGCACTCGACCGAAGCGGAGCAACATGATCCACACGCTGTCGTCGATCGTCGGATGAGTTCTTCTTCTCCAGCCAATTCCGCGTGTCACTTCAACTGCCAACATAACTCATTTCTCGTTCACTTCCCCTTCTTCTTCACCGATTTACGATGCATTATCCCAATAAAAATCGTCGTTTTGCGGCTGACAAAGAAATTGAATGCACATGTTTTAGCTGTCCGTTGTACAATGGAAAGGGGATCCTCCACACAAAAAATGAGAAGAAAGATAAGCGGCGGGAGGGGAAGAAGAAGAAGAAGAAGTAGAAAAAGAAGAAGAAGAAGAAGAAAAAGCTTAAGTGACAACAGCAAAGAAGATCGGGGAGATGATGATTGGCAAGAAATAGAGTAAAGACACAATGAAACGATGGAGGGAGTTGGTAACTTGGAATCTGGAAAGGAAATCTGGACTACGACTTCAACTCCAATGATTTTTATGAAATGGCATCAAGGATCTGTCTTCCAGGTCTTTATGAAGTTTCCCCACGGTGTACTTGACTTCTCACAACAATGCACAATATCTGTAAGTGTGCTGTCTGAAATCCGAAATCCTTCCGAGATCATCGCTCTTCTATCTCTCAATATCCCTCTTTTCCCCTCTTCCGTTTGTTTTGCTCTTCTCTGTGCCGCTGCCACGTCTAGAAGCCTGGCCTGCCCCCGAACCACATTCACTCGGAGCTCACTCCCATCTCGAAACATTACACTCGCCTTCAGAGATGAAGGAAACACGGTGGCGAGTCGAGAGATTCCAAGAATATTACATTGGTACGGGTTGTGGGCGACGACGGCGGCGGCAGTGCTTTCGCTCTCTCTCTCTCTCTCTTTCTCTCTCTCTCTCCCCTCCCGGCGGGAGTTGGCAGACTCCGCCCACTTTGAGAGATCGCGGCACCCCAAGTTGGCCCTCATTCTGCGACGTGTTTAGGTTTCGTATCACTACTACATCGCACCCATTTCAACCATGTCGGACGTCGAAGACGAGTATGAAGACGAGGAGGAGATCGAGGAGGACGAGCCCGTCGCCGACGAGAACCAAGAGCCAGAGGTGAGCGTTTTTTCCAGTTCCGTTTCCGTCAACTTTATCGCCACGTCATAAAATTTAAAGCAAATTAACTTTCAAAACTTTACCTGCTCTATCCTTTGCGTTTTCACGTTTTCACTTCCCTTTCACACTTTCTCTCGCCCATTCCATTACGCAAAAATAACTGGTCCCAGTTTCTTTTTCCGAACAACTTCTTGTTCCTCCCTTTCCACAAACAATTCCCATCGACTTCTGGCGTCGATGGCATTGTTGTAAAGCGGGGGAGCCCCTGAACTGCTCCTGAAACTCTTCGCTTCGCACGCTCTTTCACCGCATTACACAACCCATCTTCGCCCGTTTCTTGCCATTGCGATTGTCGTTTGACAATTGATGATAATAATAGTAAGATAGACGGGCGAATTGAACTTAAATTCATCGTGAATCGAACGCTCGTAAACAATAAATTCGGTCCTGCAGGCTGCTGATGAGTCCGAAGAGGCTCCGGCTCCGGCCGCCGTCGCCTCGCCGAAGGCCGCTGCTCCACCAGCGTCGATCAAGAGCCCGACGCCGGGCAGACAGGTCAACTTCACGCCGAGCATTCCACAGAGTGTTCTGAGAAAGTGAGTGGAAACAGGAAAGGCAGGAGAACATGAAAGCACTTTCAGGCAACAGAACTACTCCGCCGGAAAGCCTTCGACTATTCACACTAAGGAAAAGTTGATGAGATCGGAGGGAATCATCCCAATCCAGGCCGGATCCAACAAGTATGCTTCCCAGAAGGGAATGACCGGATTCGGAGTTCCCCGTGACGTCATTGACAAGGTTAAGTCAGAGAACTTGGCCGAGATCACCGACGAAAAGAAGATCGCCAACCTGAAGGGATCCACCTGGCTTCAGTCCGGAACCAACAAGTTTGCCTCCCAAAAGGGACAGACCGGTAAGTCCAAATGGTTCATGAAATGTCTTTTGAACTTGATGTCGTTCAGGATTCGGAGCTGTTCGTGACGTCAACTACAAGACGAAGGGAACAGGAGGAGCCAGCGAAGTTCCAGAAGAGAAGGCTCGTGCTTCCGATGGTATCGTCCCACTTCAATCGGGAACCAACAAGCTCGCCTCTCAAGCTGGAATGACCGGAATCGGAATGCCACGTATTGTTGATGGTGAGTTCTTTCTCGGCAGATTCCACAACTGATTGCAATCGCTTTTCAGTCAGAAGGACCGTCGACCAGGTCATGGACTCGCAAGGATTCATTCACCTTCAGATGGGAACCAACAAGTTTGCCAACCAAGCTGGAATGACTGGATTCGGAATGCCACGTCACAACATCACCAAGTACGTCTTTCCAACTTCAACTTGTTGACCAACTTCTTGTGTTTAGGTACAAGGACGAGGTCCGCGGAGACATGCCACACGACGAGGGAACCCTTTCGAGACAGACTTCCGGATGGAAGGAGGGAGCCTCGCAAGCCGGAATGACCGGATTCGGAGCCTTCCGTAACAACACCGTCGCCTTCATGCAGGCCCAGGACCAGCGATCACAGGGAATGATCCCATACCAGATGGGAGTCAACTTCCTCGAATCGCAAGCCGGAAAGACTGGATTCGGACAGCCGAGACAGGTGTACACCCCATTCACCGACGATTCGCACGAGGACCTGCCCGCCGACATTGCCCGCCGACCGGACGTTCCGTTCTGGACCGGACAGAAGGAGGCCGAGCACGCTAATCAGGTAGGATTCCACGTGTTGAGCCGCCCCTCACTTGAAATGTGCCTTTCAGACCGGTATGACCGCCTTCGGAACTCCACGTGACGTCCGCGGAGAGTACGTCCGTCGTATGTGGTAATTCGGTCTTCCATCCATCCATGCATCATCTCCCCACCCACGCCTTTTCATAAATGTCTTTTAACCTTTTTCGTCTACTTTCTTGCAATTTTTTCGATATTGTACTATAATAAAATTATAAGCACCTCTTTTGCAACCCAATCATTTGTTTCATTTAAATGTCTAGTTTTTTTCAATGAGAACATCTGTTAGAATGAATCTCCTTGCGTTGCATTGTTTCACTTCTATCCAAGCGGGAAACTCAAATTCACTCTGCTATGCTCTCCCTCTCCCTCGGCTTCTTCTCCTTCTCTCTTCATCCGTCTCCATAGCAACCCCGGCTTCTCCGCTCCGTCTTCACTTCTTCTCCTTTTTCGATTTTTCCGAGCCGAAATGAGCGGCGACCCGATTGTCGAGTTCACCGGCTTCATCAAAGCCTATCGTCTTTTCCGTAACAACCGTCTCTCCGATGCAGAAGCCGTCTGTACTAATCTTCTCCGCAAAAACCCACTGGATCAGGTAAGTCTGCACTTTGCCACTCTAAAACGACAAAAAACGGAAGCGAGGGGGAATCCTCTCGGTCGAAGTGTGTGTGTGTACATGTGCGAGTGAGCTCGGCAGAAATCAGTGTGTAATATTGTGTAGGCGAAACGGATTCTTCACTTTCTTCCTCTATCTTTCATGTCGCAGAAGAAGAAGAAGAGGGAGCGAAGATAAGAGAATCGGAAGCACTGGGAATCTCTGTTTTCAGGCAACGTGGGCGCTCAAATTGCAGTGTTTGTCGGATTCCACGTATGTGGACGAGCTGGAGAACGAAGACGTCGGACTGGCGGAGACGTTCCTCGATCAGAATGTGATCGCTCCGAACGCGAGGCCGGGGACAAGTTTTCAGAGACCAAGACCACTGCCAAAGGGGTCAATCCTATTCTGAGGTGCTTCTTGACTGGTGAGAAGCAGCAGAAGAGTACTTGTATTTATTTCAGACCATCCACAAATGCGGGCCGTCCTCTGTCCGGAGTCGTTCGCCCGCAAAGTTCCTTCAAATCGGGCTCAATGGATCAGGCCGTGAGGACCGCCCGTACCGCGAAAACCGCGCGAGCTGTGAGCAGCACTTCCGCCAGAAACATGCGTCTGGGAACTGTAACTCTCACTTCTTCTTGATAGTGTTATTGTTGGACTTTTCAGGCTTCGATGGCGGCTGGCGCAGACGGGGAATTTGTCAATTTGGCCAGACTGAACATTGACAAGTATGCGGCCGATCCGCAAGTCAATCGCCAGCTCTTCGAATACGTCTTCTACTTCGTCAACGACATAAAAATTGCCCATCAAATCGCCGGGGTGGCTACGAAATCTGCAGGTTTTGAAGACTACTTCTGGAAGAATCAGTTGGCAAAGTGTTATCTGCGGTAATCATTCTGGGAAGGTATTAGAGGAATCCGAAGAATGTTTCAGATTGGGAATGCTCTCGGATGCGACCAAACAACTGCAATCCTCTCTGGAACAGCGGCAGTTGATTGAAACCTTTGCGTTCTTGGCAAAAGTAACTTTGACGATTTTTCAGTATCATAAACAATCTCTTCTTTTAGACATACAATAGAGTGGATCAGCCTATGGCAGCTCTCAAAACATATTCATCGGGACTGGATTCATTTCGAGAAGACGTCACAATGCTCACTGGAATGGCACGTGTGCAGGAGGCTTTAGGAGAGTACGAATTGTCGATTATGTTGTACAAAAGAGTGCTTGATGCGCAATCGAACAACATTGAGGTATTGAGAAGAAGTGTAATAAAATCAAATGGGTTAATGACAAGTTGGCAGGCGATCGCGTGTGTCGCTACTACGTATTACTACGGAGGCAAGCCCGAGATTGCCCTCCGATACTACCGACGCATCCTGCAGATGGGCGTCTCGTCGCCCGAGCTCTTCATGAACATCGGCTTGTGCTGCCTCGCCGCTCAGCAGTTCGACTTTGCTCTCTCGTCCGTTATGAGGTGCGAATGGGATGGGAAACTTGAGAGACGAGCATTTCTTCAGAGCTCAATCCACAATGACCGAAGACGTGGCAGCTGACATCTGGTACAACATCGGACAAGTGATGGTGGATGTCGGTGACTTGTTCGCAGCTTCTCGAGCCTACCGGATCGCTCTTTCGCATGACCCCGACCACAGCGAATCTCTTGTGAATCTCGGCATTCTGAGACATCGAGAAGGTTTCACACACGTGAAGGCGTTCTTTTTGAGTATTTGACGGTTTCAGGAAAGATCGACGAGGCCCGCTCGCTGTACAGTTCGGCCATTGCCAAGAATCCGATGATGTTCGAGGGCAACTTCAACCTGGCGCTCGTCTGTTTCACGCAAGGAAAGTACCACGAATGCCGCCGACTCATCGAGAGAGCCCTCGAAGTGTTCCCGGAGCACGAGCACTGCAAGAAGATCCTGAACAACATCAAGACGTTGTACGAATCGATCTAGCCACTAACGCATTCACATCGATTACCTTTGGTCGCTTCTCTTTGTGCTGTCATCCGATACCTTTACACACGCCATACGCCGTATTTGGGCCCCCAAAAGACGTTCTTCTGAAATTCTATATTCTTTTTGTGGCCGGAGACACATTCATTCTGCACGAGTCCCCACACCATGTGGTCCCTTTTCCTCCTCTCGAGTTTACTGTTTTCCACTCGAATTCTGGCTGAAAATGCTACCGCCCGTGTCGATATTCTTCTAATTCTAGAGCGGCAAAAGTTGATTCAAGTGGTGAGATTGTGTACTGAAATTGAGAGGAAAAGGGGGAATTTCAGAGTGAAGAGAAGTCGTCGGCCGAAATTTCGTTCGAGTTGTGCTTTGAATGGGAAACGAAGCGGGCTAAACTGCCGAAAAGCAGAGAATTGGCCGCGTGGAGTGAACTGGACGATTTTGGAATTATCACAGAAAACTTGTAACCAGAAGTCCATCAGATCAGCAAAAGTCAGGCCTTCCAGACAATCCTTCCAATCGGCAAGAAGTGTTGTCACTCGAGAGAATAGTGTTCAGAATGTGAGATCCAGCCGGTCAGTGGTCCTCCAATCCGAAAAGCCACTCGACTTTTCCGCCTTTCCAAATGACGTTCATTTATTCCAACTTCGCTACACTTCGGTCGCCAAAAACTCTTCGCAGTTGACTTTGAATCCTCATTTCGTAGTTTCCGCTCCGGAACAGGTCTGATCACAAAGCATTCTAATACCTAACTCCTAGTTCTTTATTCAGAGCCACTCACAATGGCAGTTTGAAATTGAAAAGGCGTTTGTCCAATGGGTGGTCCACAAAAATGAATCATTTGAACAGGTTTCTCATCTCTTCCAATTGAAACACACAAATAAATTCAGGCCGTTTTCGAGTTCCGCATCTCCCGCCGACCGCCTCCGTCTCTCCGAGTTTCCCTCTTTCTGACGTTCCTCATAAATATGGCGATGATTTTTGCATACTTTCCAATATCCGGAATGTACCAAAAGACCACTTCTTCGGTGAGTTATCCTTGAACAATGAAATTGAAAACGAACTCTTCTTCCACAGGGCTTCTTCCTCTGCTGCGGATTCCTAATTGCTATAGCTTCTACTGGCCAAGTTCCAAAATCTGGAACAATTACTAGTTTTGGTAAGACTGAAAACGTTCAACAAATTAAACTTTTATCAACAGATTATCAACTGTTATCACTGCTTCTTTTGGGATTTCTCATCGAAATCTTCCACCAAATGCTCCCATTCCTCATTTTTCATTTGAGGTTTGTCGCGGAAGTCTTTTTCGTTTGCAGAAAAGTATTTGATTTCAGATGCTGTCCAATCGAAGCGGAGCCGTCTCCCCCGAAGTTTCCATCTCCAAGTGACCAATTCAGTTTGGATACGGAGAGATCAAAGTGCAGAGTCCCTCTGAGTGCATCCAAGATCTTTGACGTTCTTACAGATGCAACGCCGCCCTGGATTCGGCTCGTGCCGAATCAGCGAAGAGTCCACGAGTTGCTAACTTCGATATGTGTCTGGCTGAAGTGAAATACACAATGTCCGTGTTGAATGAGGTTCTGAATATGCATTCTTCGGCGGAATGGAGACGGTACGACTCTATCCTGAAATACTTTTCTCAAAATGATTCCAGAAAGCTCTGGTGCAATGCGTATCGTCGTTTCGAAATGCTCGCATTCGTAATCCTCCAACTCATCAATTTCATTCTGTTCTCCTCGTTTTGCCAATAAAATACTGTCAACTGTCAATTGTCAAACAAATATTTATTAAAGGTGGTGTGGGGATCAGAATCAGCGCATACAGACACAGAAATGAAGAGGGAGAGAGATCAATTCATCTGAACTTTGTTGGTTTTGAACATTCAATTCTAATCGAGTGAAGAAAAGCGGAAGGGAAACATGAGAAGAGGAAGGAAGGAAGGAAGGAAGGGAGAAGAAGAAGGAGTAGGCGTGATGGGCTCGTTGGAACAAATGGAACAATCAGGGGATCACAGCGACGGGGGACAAACATCGGGGGGAAGGAAAAGGAAAGAGAACGGTCGGTGAGTGTAACGGACCCGTGGGACATCGCACCGAACGGAGAGGAAGGAGGAGAAGGAGTTAGTAAGGGAGGAGGTGAAGTCACCGACACCCGCAAGATTCTACCCGCATATCGGCATACTCTTTTATCACTATTCTGAAATTGAAAAGTGATATGATCCGACACATAACTTTGGCTAACTTACACTTTATCTACATCCATGTAGAGTATCGAAAGAGGGCTCGTTTCGGTCGGCACGCAACAAGGTGGTGGGACCTGAACGGCACTTGAATTGAAACTCAACTCAAAATCGAAACCCACTTATCTGGTTTTAAAGAGTGTAAAAGTGATTGAATAATTGCGTGGTTTGATGCGTTCAACTGAGCTGGCATCGGATTCGGGCAAGAGCCCTGGCACTGAAATGCATCGTAGCCTTCTGAAAATTCGGAATAATGCATCGCACCGTCTTCGAAATGAACCCACTTGGTGCCATAATCCAATCTTGCCATCCCAGCTCATCAAAGTCCACGTAGAGATCTGTTTTCCGACAGAGATTGCTCTCCACCTCGTAATTATGATGTTTTCTACCCTGGAAACGAATCTGTGCTCTTGCGAATCCGAATTCAATTCTTTCTCGCTCACCTTTTTTCGACTTTTTCGTTCGCTGTTGCCTGGTTGTGCACTCCTTTTCCGCCGCACACTGGACGGCTCTGACAGATCGCTGAACACGATGAGCGGAGCACTCTGAGCCCGCGCGTACGGTAATGAGCTCAGACTACTGCTTTCCGTCTCATCCATCTCCACATTCTCCGGCAGCTCGACGAAGAAACTGATACGGTCTATCCGCCTGGAAAAGGCAGTGGACACGTCGACATCGATCCAATCAGTCAGATTGTCGACGGATCGGGACTCCAAAAGTAACCGATCATCGTTCTGAAAAGGTGAAACTGAAATACTGTAGGCAAGATGAATGAATTCTAACCATTTCATCGTCGTAGACATAAATAGAACAGTTGCCGGAGCTTCTCGTTTTGTTATTTCGCCGTAACCGAAGCTGAAACAATCACTATTCACGTGTCTTCCTTTGCAAAGAGAACTCACTTTTAAGATAGCTTTGATGACAACTTCATTGTGGGCGTTCCTGGCTGCTACCGAAAGATTGTAGGACAAAAGAAAGCCAGTGTTATTTTCAATGATCTCCTGAAATGTAGCAAAGTGATCACAGGTTGGCGGGTATTCAGTTACCTTCGGATAGTAATGTCTGACCCAGTCGACATCGTTTTCATCGTCATAGATATCCCACACGTGCTGCGGAATGTCGAGGCTCGGACCCGTCTGGACGGGCACGTTCTCGAGTCCCAGCCTTCGGAGCAGTCCGCGTCGCAACGCGTGGGACTCCGCACGGCTCATGTGCTGCTGTGGTTGGGCCGGCATGGCGATGGGCGTGAAGAGGAGGAGAAGGTGGAGAATGGCGGACAGTTGGAAGCGGAGAACAAGTGCTTTTGTGCTTGAAATCGTTGTCGTTGTCCGCACAGAGTCGTTCATAGTTGAGTTGGGCGCATCAGGCAGCCACTGGACATATCGTAGGGGGGAGGTGATGTTGTTTGGGAAGGAAAACGGGGACAAGGACTGGACTCTCGCCGACGACGATTCTCCTCGCGCTTAGCGCATAATCAGGCTGAAAAGAGAAAGTATTAAAGAGGAAAAGTTCAAAAAGAGATTTTGCAGAGCTTTGCAGAAGAGTATGCAAGAATAGAAGCTTGTCACGGATGGAGTGAGCTGTCCGGAAAGGACATGGAAGTGACGGGAAGAGGGGGGGGAGGAGAACGGCCGCCCAAAACGAGTGGGTGTGAAAAACAATCGCCCACCACTTCCAAAAAGAAGAGAAACAATGAAAAGAAGCGTCGAATTTCGGGAAAGACACAGAAATCACCGAAAATTGGCAGCGATTGGAAGCGGGGGACCCACACTCTATTTCGGGAACATTCTGGACACACTTCGCAACAATTTGAAGACCAAGAGGGGGAGGAGGCACACAAAAAGCGACGACTTTTTTGGTTATGATAAGTTTTGCTCAACCCGAGTAAAAAAGTTCAGAGCACTAATGATGAATTGGCCCCCGGGGAACGGTGCATGGTCTCCGTCGGCAGCTCTGGGAAAGCGGCGAGTTGCAGCAGATTTCGGTTGGTAAACATTTGCAACGAGTCGAGCCCAAAGATGGCAAAAACCATCATCGAGACGGGGAACTTCTCCGTCTTCCTCTTCTGACGCTCGAGAAGATCGAGAAGTCAATGAGAGAGAGAGGGAGGAGCACTATCACATGAGCCGACCGGTTGGTCTTCGCGGACCGAGAGAAAGCTTCTTTTCGCCTTCAAGAATGTTTTCTCTCGGCCCCGATATGATATCCGATACGGCGACGGCGGCGACTTCAAAGCCGACCGCAAACGCCTGATAGTTTTCAGATGTTTGCATCGAATCGCCAGTGCCTGGTTCCGTGCTCACTACTGTTTTTCGTTTTTGACACAATTCTATTTGAGTCTTCTCTCACTTTCACGGATTCTTCTATATTTCGAAATGCTGTCTGATTTTTAATCTAGGTGCAGCACCTTTATGAAAAAGTGAAACTAAAAGTGCACGGCTCAAATCTCTGTAAACAAATAGCCATGGAATCTCGGTGCTCACGTTTTTTTCGACACCAAATTTCTCTCAAATTACCGCGTCTCAGCTGGTCGAAAACCGACGACACAAAACGTCATTGAAGGTCTCAAAAATGGGCAAAAGGATACGGTAAATGGAATGGGTTCCGGAGGCGACAGACTGGCGCCGCTGGATTACGGTGGAATTGTGGCACAAGAAGAAGAAAACGGATGGACGAACGGACGGACGAACGGAAAGGTCAGTGAAGAAGAGGACGACGGATTGAATATAATTAGACGAATCCGGAGGAGAGACATTATTATTAGCTGGCCTATGAATGCATCTTCTATGCATCTTCTATTTGATTAGAGATAATTGAGTTTAAATTCAGGTCAACAGTTTTTTTTGAAGAATCAGAGTCAACTGAAAAAAGAAGCGAAAACGAGAGACGGAGAGAATGAGCACGTCAGATGGTATCGATTGAAAATTATCAGAGAGTGATCAAAAAGTGATTCGGCCGGGGAAAGGGAAAATAATTCAGAGAGGAGTACACGGTGAATTCAACCAATGGCATCAGCCTTTATAAGTCTGTAGTTCTAGGTACCGCCTCTTTTTGATGTGTTTTTTCGGGCACAAAAGTACGAAAAAGCTATACGAAATTGAGGGGAAACTAGTTGAATTCCGCCTCCGAGCATCCCACAGATGGGGCTCCTCCAGAGAGTTTTGCAGTTGTTTGGAAACAAATTGAAATTGAATCAAGTCTCTGGGCCGCTCGTCGCCCCCACTACCAGAGTATTCAAAAAAGTGACGTGAGGACGGACGGACGGACGGACGGAACAGATGTCTTTTTATACTTCTGCTTCTTCTGCTTCTTCTTCTTCTTATTATGCATGTCTATTCGGAATTGACGTAGAACTCCTGGTAATTTGATAGGGAAACGACGATAAACGGACGACGAAGGGTCATGGGAGGAGGATAATAACGGAAAGATTTGAAAGGATCCGGAAGTGACGAAGTGGTGTCACGTTTTGAAAGAAAAAAGAACACTCTGTACATGAAGAAGAAGCCAAATTCAGAAGTGGGCGAAGATTGAGAAAGAGATTTTGAGAAGGCTATTCTTAAAATTCGACGGCTATTTTTGAGCTGAAAATGTTAAAGTGCACTTGGACAGTTTTAGCCAGAAAATTGGTAAACGACAAGTCAGACCGCCCAGGAAAGAAACAAAGAGGAGCGAGTCGTGGCGTACAGATTTGTGTATACGAAAACAAAACAAGGTCTCTTCCTCGCAGAACACAATCGAACGGAGCAGGCGCCTGTCCGATCCGATCTACGATTCCAGAGGTGGTGCCCGTCTGGAAGGATCAAGCAGTCACATCCAACAGGCATCTGTTTGCAATGCGCTCTCCGATCGATCTGCGCCAATTTGTCTTCATCAGACACATTTGGTCGAGATTTCCGGAACCCAAAAAAGAAAGAGAGAGGGAGAGGGAGCAACCGACACATGCGTCCTATTATAAATCGATCCGATCGGGTGTTCGGCTGATCGGATGAGCGCCGAGAGACGGCGACGACTCATGATAAATTCTCAGACACAGACTGGGTGCATAAACAAAAACGTGGCTTGTCGGAGGCGCCGGCTCGAGCATTGTCACATGGTGGCTAGGAGAAGGTCTGGACACCGAGGGCATTGTTCCGAGAGGTAAGGTCAAATGAGTCATGGCTCCAGCTTTAGGAAAACATCTGTGACATGGCTAGGAAAGGACACCGTTGGTTGGTGGAAATGAACAACTGAGGAACCTCCGATCACCTGATCCATGCTTTTTGAACTGGAAATCAATCAAGAAACGGAAACTGCTGGGCGAAGAGAGAGCTAAATATCAATGACCTCTTGAGAAACACGTGTTCAACCTGGGGAACAAGCTGTGCTCATGAACTGACTTCAGAATGAGCCTACAGTAATCCACCAACTGATAGGACCCCTACCTGTGAAATACCCTGCAAAAACCGGGCGCTACGTCACAATTTGAACTCCGCCCGAAAATTGAGATTTGATATCAATTGAGCGATAAAAATCGGCGGTGCTGGGGTGAGAAAAAGAGAAGGAGACGGCTGGCCGGCGGGCGGCGGCGACGCGCTTGAACGATAGGAATATCACGGAAAACGGGAGGGGATGAGCCCGCCAGATTCGCCGTTTGATTAATGTTGCTGAATGTGGCCCCAACAGTCGCGCCCCTTCTTTTTCTTCTTTTTCTTCCTCTCTCTCGCTCTCGACTGCGTCGTCGTCGGCAAAGCTGTCGAGTGCAATAGTGTAGGGGACGAGGAGACGACGGTGAACCTGTGTACTTGGAGGGGCACCAATCGGAGGGGAGGGCGAGAGCAGCAACAGGTTGGAAGCAGAAGAAGAAGAAGAAGGAGCAACACAAGGATCGGTGCAAACCCTCCAATGTTTCTTCGATCGACGAAGAACCGACTAATATTTCATTTTGCAACACTCTCTCCAGGACACGTGTCGGAGCGATGTCCTCTTCAATGGCTCTGCCGACATTTGCAATTGAAGATGAAGAGGAAGAAGAAGAAGAAGAATGAGGAGATGGAGTCAGAGGGTCATCAGGGGGAGGTGCCACAATCACACTTGGCACACAGCCAACTGATCCACACGTGACTGATTTGGATCTAGACTGTGGAGCAATAGGCTCATTTTTGAGAAGCGGCAAGGAAACGAAAGATGCCAGTTAACTGAACAGTTTCCAGAGAAAGTCTGCAAATTTCAACGAAATGCAATTGTTTTCGAAATCCTCTTGTGGTGCAAAGACGGTCTCCGCCCTCGCAGTTCTTTGGAATCTCTCAAAAATGTTGCGGAAGAAAGGAAAAAGACAAAGTGGCTCAAATCGACGGTTTGCAGACACACACGCAAGAAGAGAAACGTGGCCAATTGGGCGGGGTCATTCTTTTTCCAAAAACCGTACTGACAGTAACTTCCAAAAACAGCAACGTGTTTCGTTTTGTTGTCGTGTCCGAACGGCCCAAATTATTATTATTACACAACTCACACACACACACATGACTCTGACACAAAGAAGTGGCAGTTCAACACTTCTTTGGTCGGCGTTAAAGGAGAGAGTAAATTAGTGGGACAATGCGGAACGCTTCGATGAGTACAAAAGAGGCGGCATAGTCATTAGATGGAAACGAAACATGAGGGAGGTGAGAGTAGAGCCCATAAAAGGCGGCTCTTGTCTTTGTGTCATCCTCTAATTGGAAAGTTATGATGTGCGCGGAACTGGCTTCGCACCAATCTGGCGCCAAGTGCGCAGACAACAAAAAGAAGAGGACAATGCGGAAAAACGATGAAAAAGAGGGGGGAGTTGAAGGGGGAAGATATGAAAACGGCGACGAACCGAGAAGATGAAAGTTTCTAAAAACAGATGTGTGGCAAGATTGATGACAGGTACGCGTATGGCTGTTGTCGGGAAGAACACGCGACCCGAAATAGAAGGCGAAGAGTACGCCCTCGTGTTGATTGTAAGACGGAGGGTCCATCATGTTCACGCACTTGTGCTTCCCTCCTGTGTGCACCACCCATCGGGTTCATACGTATTTTCGTGTTTGCCGCCGAGATGAGCTGATTAGCTGATAGGTGCACGGACACGTTGACAAGCAAGAAAAAGGAGAACTGGCTGAGGACTGGTGTTAGATACAACACACATCCTCGCAGTACCTACAAGCAAGAATTGTTTTTGGCGCGTGGGAGGATGAGGAGGACGATTGTGTTTTAGTTGGCGGAAGGAGAGAAAAGCTGACGGCTGTCTGTCGAGCCAGACAAGCGGCAGCCTTAATACGATCTTCGACACCTTCCCGCATGTGGTGCTTTTCTGATACTCTAGTCTAGACCTTTCACGAGTTTTGAACAAAGAAAATCTAAAAAAGATCATTCCTAAAATGACCAAGCAGGCGATTGAATCAAGTAATGAGAACGAGAAAGCGATGATCTGGTGAAAGGTGAAGCTCATCATCAGATTGTAAATTTGCTCGCTCAGTGTCGCCGTTTCTGTCGAACAATGTTTGGCCGACAGCTTATCTGGGCCCGACTCTCAGTCGCAAAAACGCGATTTACAGGCGCCACTCGCCTCGTCGCCCTCCTCGTTTTTTGCTCTCATCGTGTTGATTAGCGCTTGTTCAGTTCATTCAAATTCATTAACAACTAATTACAGTCACAACGAAAAGCTAGTCGAAAGAAGCTAGAGGAATCGAGAAGGAAAGTACCCGAATGAAGAGTGAAGAGCCAAGAGAGAGAGAGAGAGAGAGAGTTTTGAAAGAGAGGGAAAGGTCTTGGGACATTCGAAAGTAACCGAGATGACAGTGAGAGCGGGAAGTTATTACAGAGAGTACTGAGCAAGGATTGTGTGTGGGTGTGTGCTTTCGGGCACTGGTCCTGAGGGCACGGGCAGCAGAGCTGACGCTCTGCCGAAGTGAATCGGAAATACAAGGTGACCTAGAATATACAAAAACGAGAGTTGGACAGCTAGAGACTTCGCCTAGTTGACACATTTCGTTGAAGAGTGGGTTCGGCGTCGAAAGGAGGTGGTGGAGAAGAGCTGGAGGGAACGTCCGGCCCACGAGACGAATCCGGAGACGTAGAAGCAGCAGCGTCTTCTTCTGTTGTTGACGTGGGCTGCATTTCTAGCACTGTCGCAGCCGGACTAAAAGTGATTCGTTGAGATTGGAGCTGAGAGAAAGGTGGACCTACCCGATGACAGTATCTTTTGTGGCATCTTCATAAGAAGGAAGCGGCGGGAGAGTTTCCCTTCGCGCACTTCTGGACACAGCGTACGGTGGTGGTGGAGCGATTCCAGCAGCCACAAACGGCAGAATCCTCATGTCATCCCGGGTGATCGTCGTCGTGCCGCCCGTTCGGCTGTCTGAATCAGAATCAGGTGTTACAAAAAGAAGCGCTTGTTCGCCGATTACCAAGTCCGTAGATGGCGGCCGCCCGTGTCATTTCATCCCTCCGTGACGTCGTATACTGTGATTGCACCTACAATGAATCAGCCGAATGTATCAAATATTGACAAGAAAGTGATACCTGCATTCGATGCTTCATCAGTAAATACATTGAAACGACGAGGACGACGATCATGACGAGACTGAATACAGTGCCGGAGATGTCTCGACTGAACAACTCACCGTTCTGAGAAGTTAAATGAGTTGAGGTACTGCGGAATACGAAAAGGAACATACCTCAGAGTTTGATTGTGGTCCGTACTTGGTGTACCTCGAGTTGGACTTTGTCTTGTTAGTGTCAATCTCACAGTGATAACCAACAAAGTTATGCGGGCAGCTGCATCGACCTCTGAACTCGTGCCCACCGTTCAGACACACCAAGTCGGAGCACGTATCTCCTTGGTAGAAGGGCAGACAACTACAGTAGTTGTTGCCATCGATTCCTGAGGATGAACGGATGTTATGGTCTCAAAAAGGATTCTCACCTACTAACACCTGGCCTTGATCGCAGAGCTTCTCACAATACTCTCCGAAGTAAGGCTGAGGACAGGAGCACCTTCTTCCCATTGACTGACTCCGATATCCTCCATTTTGACAAGCGGGAAGCTGTCGACAGTGCTGATCAAGCTGATGACTTGTGGCATCCGGGCACTTGCACTGAACTCCGTAACTGAGGAACGTGGAATTGTAGAGAGCCGCAGCCGAAAGCAGAAACGTTCCCTGAAATTAGTTGTGATGTTGATCTAGTTTAATCCGAATCGCTGTAAAGTTCATACTTCCTAGTTTGGTTTGATCGATCAGACAAAAAAGACTCGTGATTTTTTCTCTAGTGTAATGAAACCGAAACGAGATCAGATTAAAGCCGACGTGACACACCTGGAACACTCTGCAATGGTCGTCCTGAGCAGTGCCGACGAGCTTCTCGTCCACCGCATAATCGGAAGCCGTTTCCGTCCAATTGCTCACGAGCTGCGGGTTCTCGGCCACCGGAGTGCCTCTCCGGCAACACGTTATTTTATAAGTCCTCGAGAGCCACAAAGGCCCCAGGAAATCTACTCCGTGCCGTGGTTTCGATGGCGGTGTCGGCCTTGTTGGCAGCATGAATTCAGCTGCAAAATCGTGCGTTTATTCTCATGATGATGACTTCATCGCAATATTATCCGTTTTGAATTAGGGTATTGAATAAAATAAACGGCGCGAAATTCAAAAACTGGTCCTATTGAGAGAATCGCCCTCGGCTTGCCCTCATTTGATTGCGTCGCGCATCCCGGTTGCGCAATGCTGCCCAAAAAAAGACTCACGGGCGGCCGTCGCATTTTCGGATTCGGCTGCTAGAAACGAGAACGGGAGCAAAGAGTAGAGGAGAAGCGAGGTGAGCATCAGTTTCTCACATAGATGACTTCTTCTCCGTCTTCTTCCTTGAACACCTCTGCTGAAATCTGGAATTGGGGGAGGAAAAGGGCGAACAAGAAGAGAGAGAGAGAGAGAAAGGAGGCCGGGTGTCAGGCAAACAGTGCTAATAAGCGAAAGTGAACTAGATGATACAAGCTGTAATGGGTGCAGAGAGAACGGAAACAAAGAGATTCAGACACGGAAGAATGGGCGCGGGGTAGGGGAAGTGGTGTTGGGTTTCGAGAATGTACTTGTTTTCGAGTCAGTTTGCATTGGGTACAGTTGAATGTACAGTTGCAGTGAGAATTGATCAACTCGTTTGAGAGGAAGATGTCTGTCTGTCTGGCAGAAGAAGAACCCGGAGGAGAGGCGAAGGGAAAGTTGCATTGAATGACATAAGAATGGGCGAAAGTAATCTATGTAATAAGAGAGTGCGATAATATGACAAATGTGATAATCGTGTATGGAAATGACCGTATATCTGCTTGAAAAACACTATATTAAGATGGAAGAGGCTGTAGACGCTCACAGAGAGAAGAGAGAGAGAGAGAGAGAGAGAGAGAGAGAGAGAGAGAGAGATAGAGAGAAAGATACAACGAGTTCTGTAGCACGAAAAGGCGATTTCGAAGCCGCAGAATCCTTCGGAGGGGTTTAGCAGTGGGGGCATCGCACCGATGGTTTCGGTTTATTATCGGATTTGGTCACCACTCGGTCACCACTTTTTTGAGGCGCAACACAAAATGAGGAGGAAATGGCGACCCGGAACGCTGCGACAAGGCCGAGAAGGAGACGTACTTGAAGGTATATATTAGGGCAGTACAGGGGTATATTGAAAACAAACAATATTGGATTACAAGGACGCCGGGTTTTGTTCTTCTCAATTGGCTACTTTTCATCGAGAGAAGAAGGAGCACCAGAAGAAGAAGAAGAAGAGGAATATCGAGACGAAGAAACGGGACGATTTATGAGTGGGAAACCAGAGGACAAACGGGCAGCGGCGCCGCGCGGCGGGAGGTTGTAATTCTGTGAGTCGCGCCTCGTCGAAAACCAGACGAATTGCACATGCCATCCAAGTAGGTGTGGAAGCAACAAGAGACAAAACTCTTCCCCCCTTTTCATTTTTCTCTTTTTGTTTCAATAGGTCACTTCTCTCTCGCAAATGTTTGCTTTTAGTGGGGGATGTTGGAGAGTAAGTCATTCCAAATTCCAATGCACTTCCTTACGTGACTATGCGATGAAGAGTTATGGAAGCTGCGGAAGCTGTCAATCACAAGGGCTCACGAGTAAAAGACTTTCAAATTATACGAAAACTTTCCGTGGTATGTAGAAAAAGAAGAAAGAATGAGAAGAATGATCTTTGTGGGTGAGCCGAAAAGAGCTCCGATCCGGACGTGGGTTCGACGGATGACTGGGTTAGGAAAAGGCGAACAGGAACAAGCGGCCGATCGCATCAAGGAGCCAAATCTGCCCATTGAGCAGGGATATGGCTGGCAAATTGAAATGAATAGCTCCCTTCTTTCGCTCGCTCTCTCTCTCTCTTTGCCTCGACGGGCGCGAGCCGCTGTTTGCACCTATTGCGCGCATCTTGACGGGCTCCGCGCGGAGAGCGGACGGGTAGATCGGTGTGGCATGTTCATGAATGTTTCGGGAAGAAGTGATAAGTGTACGTCCACTCTCACAAGAGGGCTCTCCTTCTTCATCTTTCGCTCTTTCCGCAGGTGAGAAGTAGGGAAAAGGGGGCGGTAGGAGTATGTTTCAAGAAGAACGACGCCGTGCCGTGTTATATAATTACATGTACATGTGTTCGCGACATAAAAGATAAACAAACGTAATAATTGCAGTACGAACAATGTGGTGTGACGTGGCACCGGAGATGATTCATTTGATACTCACGCCTCGGTTTTTTTTACACTTCCACTTTTTCCAGCTCTTTTTTCTCCGTTTTTCAACGCGAGTGATCCGGTTACATTTGACACCTTTTTGCCATCGAGTTCTCTGCTCTGATTAGTACGGTGCAGCAGCGGCAACTTGCAGGCGGCCCGTAAAATCGGTGACGCAAAGCTTGACGGTAAACGAGATGCGTCTCGCCGCCGCGCGGGAAGGGACGACACGCCAGCACTTTTTTGTGTTTTGTTAGGTTCGCCGACGATTCGTATTCTTTTTCTCCTACTCCTGCTGCCGCTGCTGCAGCTGCTACTGTCAATGTCAATTGTTTTGTGATGAAAAAGACGAAGGCGGTTGAGGTTGATGAGGTGGAAGAAGACGACGACGCTTTGGGAGGGAGAAAGAGAAAGAAAGAAAGGCATGGTTTGGGTCAACGCATTCAACTGGATGAAAGAGTTTACTGAAAGGTTGAGGGGCAGGTCTGAAGAAGCCCAGATCCCAGAGAGACTAGTTATCAGAGGAGTGCACAGGATTAAAGTGAGAATGACGGAAGGGAGGACGTCGCCGACAAACATAAGAGGAATCCGAACACAAAAAGGTGATTAGACCTCATCGAAAACGACTACCGCCTTGTCGATCCATTAGCGGTCTCCTCTTTACACGAAAACGGGCGATGATATGGCCTCTTGAACCTTGGGAACTCAACCAACACTACAAGTGATTTGCATAACGGGGGGTAAAAAGAAGAGAAGAGGATCGCCTCGAAAAACCATTGTAGTCGCCTGTTTTCAATACGAATACTACTGCGGTATTCGGCAACGCAAACAGTGAAAGATCGCACTGACTATGTACACATGACTTGGAATTTATGAAAATGCCGATATGGCTGCTGCTGCTGCTGCTACTGCTGCTGGCGGGCTGATCGACGATGCCGTCGTCGTCGTTGACATGACGAACGAACTACTGAGGCCGTGGAGAGCGGGGGGCAAAACAACACTTTCAGAGAGAATTTCGCAGATTGTGGGAAGCAGACACAGTCTCGAAAGTGTTCGGGAGGAAGTCAATGAAAGGCGAATTCGATCGAATGCGAGGAGGAGAATGGGTACGGGGGCGCCGCTGCCATTGAGAAGAGACGCAGCTGAGGGCACCTCTCGCAGTAAACCTGTCGCGCACTTTCACTTACAATTGCGAAACAGAAAACAATCATCTGGTGTTTCTTATCAGCCAAAATCTCTTTCTCTCAACATCATCATTCATTTTTTGTTTGGTTCATCTTATGATGGAGAAGGCTGGCGTTGAGCAGTGAGAGGTAGGAAGTAGGAAAGAAAGTAAGAACACCCAGGTAATCCTTATGATTTTGCTTCTTCGGATGTTCGGGTGCGGTGAAATCGAAAATGGAATGACATGAGATGACATAAGGGAATGGGAATTAATGTGCGAGAAGAACAAGAGAAGCCAAAGCGGAGGAATTCGGCTGAGAAGGTCGAATGGCAGAGGGAAAAGCTGCTGGCAGGTGACCTTCCCTTTCGAGATTTCAGAAGAGATAAGCGGACGAGCGACGGCGTCTACTTGTTATTTGAAACAATGACAAAAGGCCTTGTTCTTTCGAAAAACTGGTTAGATCCTCCACCACCACAGTCCGTTCTAGTTGGATGCAGTTGTGACAGTTATGTAACCGTCGACCACATGGAGAAATGAATCCGAATCAGAATCAGAATCAACGTCAGCCAATCAGGGGAAACTACTCGAGACTTTTTCTTCTTTCTCTATACGAAAGAGTATGAATCAAAAGTGCATCGGAAGGCGACTCTCTCTTCCGAAAGAAGAAGTTCATAGGCAAACTAATTGTGAACACGCTGTCCCTTGAGGGAGAAGTGCGAAGGGACCGCCCTCCCGCGTTGCATAAATTTCCAAGATTATGCCATTTCGAGTAGTTGACGAGGAGGAACGAAGAAGAAGAAGAAGAAGCAGCCCGATGAACATGTCGATAAGAGAGGACATTAATTCGAGAAAGGACGATAGTATCTTCGACTCTCGCGATGGCATTAGTCACACTTATTACATAATGGATCACACTTCCGGAATGGTTGATTGATAGAACAGAAAAGAGAGAAATAGAAAGAATGAAACATAACAAAAACAGGAAACAGTCCGACAGGCGGCTTTCAGAAAAGTGGCCGAGCGTGCTCCGATGTTTCCGTATCACAAGACAAACATTCAGTTCTCACGGTGTCCCCCGGTCGTCCATTCACCTTCAAACCTTCGCAACTTTTGACTATATCAAACATCCTCTTGCTCTTCCTCTTGTTTTCATGTTTTCTGAGATGATCCATACTCAATTTGTTGCAAATGAATCCCTAAATCTAGTGGATTTTACTGGAGATCCGTGTATTCGTCTTCACCTGCCACCGCCTCTCCTTCCTCGTCGTCGTCGTCGTCGAAATTGTCGCCTGCGGCCAATTCTTCTGATTGAGAGACTCTCCGTTTTTTTTTTCTCGAAATAATCTTTTCCCTCTCCTTTCCAAAAGGTGTCTGAAAACAAAAGAAGAGCTCGAAAACTACACATATTCAATGAAGATGTGCTCTTTTGGGGAAAAAAAAGAAAAGAGACCCTCGGGGGCTATCATTGTTCAGTTTTGTGTAAGGGCACGAAAATAGTGGTCGGCTCGGCGCAATCTCTCATTCTCGGCCGTCAACGTCTTGTGTGTTGTGTGCCCAAAAAAGAAACTCATCAGAATAAATAATTATGGTAATTGCCAGCAGCCGGCTTCTTCTTCTTCCTCTTCCTCTTTCTCGTCATCTGCTGCCGCTTCATCTCTTTTTCACTCGATTCCATTGAAACCCAATCTCGCTCCCGTTTCGCACCTTGTTTGTTGTCCATTCCATTCCCCCCATCCAATTCGTTTCGTTGCCAACCACACTGTAAAAATTACCGCTAATGCTTCTGGTTCTGGTTTTTTTCACATCTCATTCCGTATTAGGCTAATGTGATTTCTGCTTTTTGTAACTTTAATTATCAAAATGTTGTTGTGGGGGTTTTTGCTTTAAAATCTTTCAGAAAACATCGTATAAAAGAGTTAGTCACTGTGAATCATTCATTTTCAGTCAATTCCAGTCTTCGAGAGCATGTCCCCACTTCTTCTTCTTCTTCTCCTTCTGATTCACTTCACATCCTCAGCAATCATTCCCATTCCGCTGCCAAGCCCTCCCAACCCGATTCCCGAACCTCCGACGGTAAGAATGATTCCCGATGACGTCGTGATCACTAATCTTTTTCAGGTGAGCCTCACCGCTCTCACAGCTGAAAAACAGACGCCCACCACTTTGAAAGTTACTTCAGCTGCCGATCATCTGCCGAGAAACGAAACAAAACTGTCTCGGAACCGGGTCCGACTGCATTCGCACAATTCAAAATCGTCGAAAACTCGGGAAGTGGAGATTCTGGATGCGAAATGCAATGATGAAAGTTTACAGGAAATCATGCAGGATGTAGGTTCAAAGTGAGAAAGAGAAATAATGAGAGAAAGAGTGATTTGAGGCGATGACTCCGAGTCTGAGCACGTCCAAAATGGTGATTTCGGAAAGGGCGACTCGTGATTTTGGCACTCCGTTCGACGTGATCTGTGCCAGAGGCCACTTCTCCTACTACGTGGAAGCTTCTACGTACTGTGAAGTCACCCAGAACGACGTCACCTGCTTCGCGTACAGATCGTCGGCGAACATCGAAGCCGACAGTGGCCGGAACAGATTAAGACGCGAACTATCAAAACGAAGAAGAAGAAGGCCGAACTAAACCGATAAACCGTTTATCCGCGCCAACTGGTCACTTCCCTCCCAATCTCTCCCGAATCAATCGAGTATCTTCTTCTCTTGCATCAGATAAATAAACAAATTAGTAACATTGACAATGCCAAAAACTGGTGGGCGCGGGCATGATAACGATAAAACTGGTAGTACGGTAACCAGTTGGTCTTAATCCGAGAGGGTATATGAAGTAGCAGTCGGAACAGTCATCGAGATATCAGCATGACGCCGAGTTGGCTGCTCGTCGCCGTTCTCCTGGCCTTCGTGCAGGCGTCGCCGCCAATGTGTCACTGTCCGAATGGGCAGGTTGGAAGTACGCTCTCTTTTTTGAATTCTTCAATAGTGTCGATTTGATTTTCCAGTGCAATGCCCTTCTCCGATCACTTTCAACTGTCCTCCACAAGCGCCTTGTCCCAGTTCTCCCCCTTGCAACATGTTCGCAGGGCTTCCCACGCTCCCAACTTTTTCCCCACAGTCATTCCAGGTACATTCCTTTACAAATTTCCCTCACTACTCCTTCTTTTTTTCCAGACTCTTGCTCCGTTCACTCTCGCTCCACTACCAGGAGCTCCTCAAGGAATAACTGGTCCTCCGCAGCTTCCTCCCGCAGTTGCTCCGCCGACGAACGGCCAGGAGACTCTGGTGGGAATCAATCAACCAGCACCTCCACCGCCAGTTCAATACAATAATCAAGGTACGGAAAAATTGTTGAGAAGTGAACAAGAGATGGTTCAGGACCACAGTACAACGAAGCCCCGCCGCCTCCGCCGCCGCTGCCGCCTCAGCAGCAGCAGCAGCAGCAACATGCTCCCCAAGTTCAGATTCCTGTTCAAGACGCCACTACTCTCCGACCATCCACGCTTCCCAGCGAGACGTAAACTAAACTCAAAGATGATCTTCTGTTCACAATTCGTACACTTTCAGATACGTTGAGCTAGAGAATCCAGAGACCAACGTCAATGAGCCACCCCCACCAGTCCTGCAAAACACTGTTGACAAAGTATTCGAGTCTGAACCCAACAGTGAGCAACTCTTTTTGAAATATGAATAGCTGTTAACCCATTTCCAGACGGTTATCGCCAGCCAGTCCGTCGCCAAGCACCTCCACTCAGCGAGAAGTGTAACGATGACCGTCTGCGTCGCATCATTGAAGAGAACGTCGACGACAATCCGTCGACGTCGAAAAGAAAGATCCAGAAGGCCGCTGCAGATGAGATCGGTGGTCTTTTCGACGTCATCTGCTCGGCCCACGACTTCTCTTATTTGGCGAACACCCAATTGTTCTGCGAATCCGGAAACGATGACGTCACTTGCTTCGCATTCCTGCACTCTCTCATCCAGTAACCCATCTTCCCTTTTGTTATTCTTATTTGGTCCATGTGCAATTCATGAAATTCTGTTAATAAATTACTACGATCCCTTCATTTTGTCGAACAGAAGTTATCAGAGATCGTCGTCTTTTCGAGTTGAGTTGCTCCTGAGGGAGGCTCAGTCTGTCGTTGTGCAGCTTCTGACGAGTTCCTTCGCTGTCAACTTGGCCACGTTTTTGCGGCAAAGAGAGTGCCTCTCGTTGAGCGCATTCCGGTCGATGGTGATGTCAGTGGAGCGCATGATGTCACTGCAGTTCTCGAGAAGCTTCGACCGGTTCGCATTCCAGAGGAACACCTGCAGCACATTGTCGTCCAGATTGTCGCTGTCTTTCATCTCTGCACTTTCCGCACTCTTCCACGACACTCTCATGTAGCTCTCTCTGAAATGAGACATGAGAAAGCTCAGAGAAGAAGCAAACAGTGGGTTACCTCCTCATTATGTTTGTTTGGTGAATAAGCACGCCTTCAGCAGACGGAAAGTTGATAACACAGTGGTAATTGTTGTCTACGCTCTCGTTCTGAACACAAGTTAGAGATCCGAATTGGCCAGATACTCACCTCTTCGGGCTGAGGACCCAATTGCGCTTTAATAGCCAGAATTTCCCATGGACTGCTATGTGGCAGAGCGTAGAGATGACGAGCAGTTTCGCTGTCAGGCTCGAGGCCGAAGCCAAGGAAGAATATCTCGTTGTGAGCCTTGTAGTAGCCCCGGATGAAGATCAATCCGAGGTAGACACCGGGGAAAACACTTTTGATTACCTAAAGTTACTCATGAAAGGAGAGAAATTTGATATTGTACCTGAATACAAAAGGATTCCAATCCGGGAAAGATGTCTCGAGTCTGATTGGCAGACAAGTATTCCAATGCATACGCTTGCTGATTCTGGATGCATTCCAAAACGGAACGATGCGTTTCAATTGCAGATATGCAACCTGGGATAGATGTAAAAGTTTCGACGCTTCTATGGAATGCGATCTCACCTAGTAGACCTTCAGAATAAGAGCACACCGCACTGAACTCGTGTCCGTCGTCCACGTACTCCTGTACCACGTAATGCTCGTTGCGGTGCACACTTGAGTTCCGCTGAAACCAAATGAAATTGCATGATTGAGAGAGAAAAGAAGAGAAACTGACTCTGAACCAGTTCTTAAACTCGTTTTCGTTCCGAATGAAACCGACAGAATGAGCACAGTGATGTCGGAGAGGTCGGACGACCGCCGGGAATCCCCCGATCTGGTTCCTGACCGCTTCCGCCCACGTATCCGGCTGCGGAGTTCCCGAGAGGGAGCATTGTCTCAAGCTGATTGCAGCTAATCCGTTCCGCATCGTGATAGCGTCTTCCGCATGAATGAAGTGCAGAAGCTGTTCCGGCTTGAAGCCCTCCACCTCCATATCTTTTCGAATGTGAGCAATTGGACGTTGGAGCGATCTCTCGAACACCACCAATTTTGGGTTTTTTGATGAGAAAATTGAGCAGAGCTCTCGGACTTTGTGCATCAAAAGGCAATGGTCGTGGTCTCTGATGGGCGGTTCCACTTGATAGTACACATCGACACTGAAATCGAACACAATTCCAAGTGAATAATGTTGAAAGCGCTTACTTTGTCTCATCAACCAACATCCGGGGAGGTGCGACCACGATGATTTTCACATCATCCCGCTGCCGCCACCGATACAAACTGAGCCTATACTTCCAAAGGACTATAATGATCACATGTTCAGAACCGGTTGATTTCATCTGGAAAACAGAAGCGAATGAGCAGAAGGAGGCCGGAGCAAGACGGAGCCGAGGCGCTTTAATTAACGAGATAGCAATTGAAGGCGAGAAAACGACGGCATCGCCAAGTGTACGTATCCCATAAATTATAAATAGAAAACAGGAGAAGAGGCCGTGTTTTTCGAGGAGGCAAAGAAGGCCGAAATAAATACATACGAAAGCAGGTGCGAAAAGCCGGCTCATATCTGACTCCTGATTGCCCGCCCGACGTATTGGGAAAGAGAATGAAACAGAAGAAAGAGCAGAAGAAGAAGAGGGAGACGTTGGTTAATTGAGTATTAACAAGAGGCGGAGGGAAGAAGGAAACTACGAATGATATTATACGTTCACTCAGCTTAATGTTCTATTTCCATGAAAGGAAGTGATGAAGCGTACCAGTTACCAGACGGATTAGGTCAATTCGGATCCGGTCGGATTTGACGGGATTCGTTACAGGCAGGTGATAAACCGAGTTCGTTCAAAAATATTTTGAAAACCGAGCAAGGAGGTGAGGAGAGACTCAAGACGAAACGAGTGAAGAGAGGAAGAAGAAGAAGGATGCGGCCGTCAAAGAGACGGGCGACAAATAATGAAGTGGTCTCCGGAGGCGTCGGGAACGCCCCATCCGTCAAGAATAACAATATTTCATTAGGCACATTACTTGACTAGATTATCGAAGAGAACAAACACGGGCGGTGGCCGGCTGGGACTCGTTTCGAATAATGGGATCAGGGGAAGAGAGCGAGGAATGAAGGGATTTGATTGACATGGATTAGAATTGGATCGGAAGGGCTCAATGAGCAGAAGGACGGAAGAGTGCACGTAGTCGGAACAAGTTCCGTGCAGTTTTCGGGAACACACAATGCATTTGTCAAAATATGGAAGCCTTCTGTTGCTCCTTCTCTTTCTCTGGCTCAAGTTGTGCATCTCTTCTCGTCCCGAAAGCCCGAAAGCGAGAGACAATTGAAATTCGGCGCGTGTGTGTCACTTTTTGGGCCCGCTCCCGCCACTCACCCCGTTTTCGGCGGCAAACGAGCGCCATAAACTCGAAAAGATACATCCCCCGGATATGCGGGGGAAAAGAGAAAGAAAAAGAAAGAAAGAGAGGGAGAGGGAGAAGGGGGATGAGCAGCCGGAAAGTGCAATAAGCAAGTAACCGAGTGAAATATGGGCAAGCGATAGGAGCCAGAAGCGGTGGAATCGAGTATTTATGGAGACGAGTTAAGAATGTATGACAATTTGGAGGCAGTTATCGGTTAAATTAGGTTTTTATGGCGGCGAGCAGAAAACCGAAAACACGAGCAAGGAAGAATGAAAATAAAGGAGCCAATTGGGCTGATCTGCCCCCAAACTCCTTCCGGAGTTGAAAGAAACACTAATTGAGCAGAGACATTCTTCCGAGAAAACGAACTTCCGTAAGCGTACTCTGCTCTTCCGTCAATCGGTTGATCAAGTAGAGTTGGGCATGCTTCCGGGGAGGGTCATTTCTCTACAATTTTTCATCAATCATGAATCAGATACACGTGTCGCTGGCTCCGTCAATTTTATGCAATTACCGCTCAGACAAAGTCTTTAAGAAAACCGATTCTCCACGCAATACCACGTGGCAAAACCTAGTATATCATCGGCTAAAATGTTTGTACAAAAAAGCACATTCTAGCTTGGCTTTTGTTGTTTTCCGCTGTTTCCCACGTTTCCGTGTCACCGGTTATAAAGCCGTTTCTTGTTCGGATTGTCACGCGTTTCATCAAAATAGAATACTAGAGTTGTAGTTGGTGACATTGCTCTTCTAATTGAGCTCTCGTGATATGAATTCACTGATTAGACATCTTTTGAAATAGAGCTCGGATTGCGAAGCCATTGTGGCCGGATATGACGCTCTCTTTCTTGCTCTCTTTCTCTCTCTCCAACTCACCCTTCTCAGCTTTTCTGAACTTTCATTTGTTCGCACATTTATTTCACTTCCTTCCGTTTCTGTCCCTCTCTCTCTCTCTTTCAGATACCCTCTTGACCAAAACGAACAAATTCGTTTTCCTCTATAATTTTCTCCTTTAAAAAGGTGTGCCAACAAACAGAGCGAGGGAAAACAAGGCTCGAATCCATATCAGACGCCGTCTCGGCTCTTTCTTTTTATTTTGAAGACGCCGTCATGGGCAGGTGCCACGCGGGCTTCAGCGGGAAACTCGAAGTTTTGAAATATGCGATTCAAGTCGCCTATTTCCTCATTGGACTCTATTATCACTTTAAAATTTTGCGTGTCTTGTACGCCAAATGGAATCTGTACTCCAAGTTCTCGTTCTACAAGCTTTTCATCGTAGATTCCATCCTGGTAACGCTTACTTCTTCCTCTTTTTGACGTTTCTTCGGATTCAGAATATCGTCATCATACTTCTCGACGTCGGAGCCATCAGAATCTTCGCCTTCATTCCTGCTCTTTGCCCATGGGCACTCTCCGAGTTCCCGGAGCCTTCTCAATGGATATCATTCGTGTTTATCGAACAATATCTCAAGTTTTCCAAGTGTCTCATCTTCTGCTTCATCATGTTCAACAGAGCAAGTTGTGTGCTCTTCCCGACCTCCCATGGAACTGTAAGTTGATATTGTCCGGTTACTAAAAGTCAGATCTTCAGATCTACAACTGCATCTTCTACCACATGCTCCTTCTGGCCTCACTGTGTCCTCTCATCGGGATGCTTCCGATTTTCATCTCGGACAGTCAGTTCATTCCGTTCCAAGGAGGATTCATTCACGAAAGCAGAATGAAATTGAACTGGGTTAGTTTGTAGCCTGCAACTTTAATAAAATGATAAACTTGTAGATGAACCTCAATCAATTCACCCTCGTCATCTCCGTAATCACTCTCGTCATCATCTTCCTCTGCTCCTTCGTCTGCCTTCTCTGCATGTCGCGTGCTCGCGAAGAGCACAAGTACACGGAGCAATGTCTAACCGCTTTTGCCCTTTCGATGAGCATCTTCTACGTTTTGGCCCTTTCCATCGGAATCTTCTTCCAACAAATGCACGCGTCGTCACTGGAAATGGCCGAGTTCTGGAAGGCGCTCACCATGTTTTCCTTCGATATTCTCCTCGTTTGGTGAGTTCCAAATGATCCGCTGCTGAATCTACTTCTCCTTCCAATACCTTTTATTCCAGTCCGCCCGTCATCATGCTCATTCTGAACGTGCGATTGCGGATGGACGTCTTCCAACGAAACACTGATCAAACTCCGAATTCAGCTAAATAAATGTTTTTATTTTGAGCAGACACATTTATGAAGAACCGGGTCCGTTTCCGAGAAAGTCGACCCGCGAATAGCAGTTCAATTCAGGAGAACTGAATCCATTTGGCATCATGTTGCGTGCAGACTTTTTATGGGTTCTTATAACACTTACAAGTGGGGGTGCTTCCTGTGCTCGGGCATTCATTCGAACTCTCAATGGTACAGCAAACTTCCGAATCTGTCTGTGATCCTTCATTCGATTCGATGACCGAACTCCGAAAATATCTGCTCCAGAGCTCTTTCCTTCTGGTCTCTCTCCTCATGCACTTTCGTTTCCTCTTTGTCATCAGAAGCTTCTACCGCAAATCATCGCGTCTCAACTCGTTCTACTCCCTCTACCTTCTGGAATGTTGGCTGGTAAGTGCAACTGTCTTCCAAATATCTTTAACTTTTCAACTTTCCAGAACACTGTCTCCATCGTCATTCTCATTCTCATTGACAAGCCCTCCACCTATATCACATACTTGTGTCCGATCTTTGTCGATGCGTTCCCGTCGCCTTCCTATCTTCTCAACTTTTACTGGATAACCGACTACCTGCAGCTTGCCAAGTGCATCGTCCACGCCTTCATCTCCATCAACCGAATGACCTGTGTGCTCTTTCCTCTTCAGTACGTCTTCTGGTGGAATCGCTGTCTCTCCTACTGCATCCTCTTCACTTTCCTCGCTCCGTTCGCTGTCCTTTGGACTGCTCTCATATCGAAAGCGTACATTATTCAATATCTCGGAGGATTCGGAATCGGTTACGATCACGTCGTGCCCTGGGTAAATGCGAGGGAGCGGAACTGGAATGAATCTTCCTTTTTCAGGCCAGACTGTCCGTTCTCAAGGGAATCGCCTTCTTCTCGATCGTCGTGATAATCTTGACCACGTCTTCTTTCACAGTTGTGTACCTTTCGAAGAAGACGAAGAAGAGCGCAAAGGGAACGGAGAAGAATCTGTGCATTGCGACTGTCGTCTCCGCGTTCAAAATCATCGGCTTCCTCGCTGCTCAGCTCTTCTTTGTCATTTCTCCATTCAGCGGGACCGACAGTGATACCGCCTACGATTGTTGGCTGCAAATCAACGATTTCCTCTACGATTTGGTCCTTTTCTTGTAAGTTGGATACCTAGCGAACTCAAAGTTCATATCGAATTTCTACCCCAGGGACCCTGCGATCATGCTTCTGATGAACAAGAAAATGAGAATCCATGTGCTCGGTCGAAGACTTTCAGATTCGCTCAATTTGGAGAGAAGGAACAAAACTAAGCAAGAAGTTAATAATATCGATAGACCTTCCAATGATGACAAAGTTTTCTTTATACGCGTGATCTGAATAAACAACCCGACTGGGCAGGTGTCCCAAGAGCAGATGACCGGGTCAGGAACCGTTCATCCTATCAGCGCATGTCACACGGAGCAAAGGATATGCTCATGGACGGAGTGTTGTTAGAAACAAAACCGAGTGATATATATCTTTCAACTTTTCACAATCTTTCTGTGTTCCGATGCAAAGACCGAGCTTTCGCTCGAAAGCGGCTTTTCTCGATTGTTGCGTCACAACCATTTTATTTTACTTTTTTGTTCTGACAGGAGAACACAGTAGAACGCTCACTCAGAGAAAAAGGCGCAAAAAAACCAATCGGCACCGTCGGCGTCAAAACTCGCGCTCTTACTCACAGAGTGCGCTAAACCGCGCGCAGTACGACACTCCGCTGCCAGAGACCTCTTCGTTGCGTACCCGAACAAGGTCCCTTTCTTTGAGCGTATCTAGCGAACAGAAACACTTCATAAACACATTCATCCATAGGTTTTTCTCTTGAGTTTTCTCTTTTTAATCGTTGAGAACATGGCTGACAAAAAGGTAGGTTTGCAGGCGCGGGTCGACGAAAAAACAACTCATTTTCTCTTTGTCACCCGTTCAATATCTCATTTTCATTCAGGATTACGCAGCGATCGCCGAACTTGAAAAGCTTCTCGCAGAGAATGCTCTCCATTTCGAAGCGTGGAAGACGAGCCACATGTAAGTCTTCATTCAGTGCATTACTCATTTTCAATCGATTCGTTTTCAGTAATCACAGAGGAACGGCCGAGTACAACACCGGAGTCTCTCGGTTCATCGATTATGACAGAGATCTCCGCACACGGATAGCCACTCTTCAAGGAATCAACGTCGAGTCGGGACCGAAGAATATCGATGCGGTTCTAGGTAAGAGCACTTGTTTCGAAATCGATCAAACGAAAACTTGTAGATGAACTCTTGGACAAAGTCGATTTGATGGGCTTCGTTCGTGCGATTCAGATAGTCAACTCGTCAGATCCTACATTCTACTCGAAGCTTCAACAAGCTTCCGAAAACCGGACGAGTAAGTCGAATAACTGATGAACATCAATTCAACTATTATTTCCAGGAACTCAAGTCAGACCAGAAGTCTTCCGGAACATGGCTATGCCTCAGTTCTACCCTGGATTTGGTAAGTTTAATTCTCCAATTTGTGTATTGATTTTCTATTGACCGTTTTCCAGCATCCACTCCATACACCTTCACAGCTCCTCAAGTCACGGTCGGTCCCATTCCAGCCTACAGGCCGCCACCGCCCGTCATCAAGATTCAGCGACCAGTGTCTCCTGTCCGCGATTACCAGAAAAAAACCGGCGCTCCGTTCCGCGATTTCAGCGTTTAACCAAATCGAAAATTTATAATCTCATTCGCTTTTTATCTTTGAAAACGATCGTCGCTTTTGTGTTTATAAAAATTGTACTCGCAAATCATTCTGTTTGTTCGAACAATTATTGTTGCTTTTCTGTCATTTAATATCGTGAAAGATCTCTATTTCGCCACTAGAAACCGGTTATTCTTTATCTTTTTGTCAAATGAGAAAACTCACGTGGTTTCTAAGAGACGTTTGTTTGTCACGACAAACATAGGTGTTTTGAGTTGAGCGCCGGCAGTTCGGAACAGGCGAGTGGAAGGGGCCTGGTTCGCAAAAAAAAATTTGGCAGCCGTAAGGGCCTTACGGTAAGGCTGCCCAATTTACCCTGACTGTAACAGGTTGTCAAGTTATTCGAATTGTCTGAATTACTTCCATAGGTCATATTCGTTCTTGGCGTTTCTCAATTATCCTGTACCCCCGCCTATGACGACAAATCAGTCGACTGCGAGAAGCGTGCGGCGGTTCTGCGAAAACGCACGCGCTCATTGCAAACTAGCGCCCGTCCGACCACGCCCACTTCCTCCCAATTTTTGCAACTGTTGCTCTTTACTGTTTTGCTGCCGCTCTAGAGCAATACAAATTGAAACAAAAAAATTCGTGCATGTTTCTTGTTTTTAAGCTTATTATATTTACTCTAACTTTAACAAACATTGAAATTTGTAGGGTACTCCAACATGCTCGGGCGACGTGCAGTTTCCGTTCAGCGGTTTTTATCGCGAGCTGCTAGACAAGTTAGCACAAAAAAATTCACATTGTTGCAGTTCACCTAAAAAAATGTTTTCAGAGCGTTAGTGCTGCGTCTGCTCAGTCGAATCTCCAGGGTAAGCAATGGTTTTGGCTTCTTCTGACGATTGTGAGAAAACAATTTTTCAGCTAAAGCACATCTTCTGGAGCCACTCGTTCAGAATGTGCGTCTCACTTCCACCGCCAAGTTCCACATGAGCGCCATCAGAAGTCTGTATTCTTCCCATTTTCTTACAAATTGAATATTTTTGCAGTGAGCGACGTGATCACTGTCGAGGGACCTGCTTTCGCCGAGTCCATCTCGGAGGGAGACATCAGATGGCTCAAACAGAAGGGAGATCATGTGAACGAGGACGAGCTCGTCGCTGAGATCGAGACCGATAAGACTTCAGTCGAAGTGCCAGCCCCACAGGCCGGAACTATCGTCGAGTTGCTCGTCGAAGACGGATCCAAGGTTACTGCCAAGCAAAAGCTCTACAAACTTCAGCCAGGAGCCGGAGGAGGTGCCGCTGTAAGCTTTCCTCGAAAAATTTCGAAATTTCACCGGTTCTTTTCTTCTTTTCTAGCCAGCCAAGGAAGCAGCTAAACCTGCCGCCGTCCCCGCAGCTCCAGCCCCAGCTGCTGCTCCAGCTGCTCCATCAACCCCGGCTCCACCAAAGCCGGCCGCTGGCGAGATCCCGAAGGCCGCTCCGCCAGTAGCTCGTCCTCCATCCGCCCCGTCTTCGTCTACCCCGGTCGGAGCTGTGCCAGTGACTCGCGTCGTCGTTCCGAAGGGGGTCGATCCGTCGCACGCCATCACCGGAGCTCGTGATGAGGTCCGCGTCAAGGCGAACAGAATGCGCATGCGCATTGCTCAAAGACTGAAGGATGCGCAGAACACGTACGCCATGCTCACCACCTTCAATGAAATCGACATGACGTGAGAAAACATTCAATACTTTCGTTTCAAATTCTTTAGTTTTTCAGTAGCGTCATCGAGATGAGAAAGACCTACCAGAAGGAGTTTGTGGCGAAGCACGGAGTCAAGCTAGGAATGATGTCTCCATTTGTCCGTGCTACCGCTTACGCCCTCCAGGAGTCGCCAGTTGTCAACGCCGTCCTTGATGAGAACGAGATTGTCTACCGTCACTTTGTCGACATCTCCGTTGCTGTTGCCACCCCGAAAGGACTCGTCGTCCCCGTTTTGAGAAATGTCGAGAGCATGAACTACGCCCAGATTGAGTTGGAACTGGCTAACCTCGGAGTGAAGGCCCGTGAAGGAAAGTTGGCTGTGGAAGACATGGAGGGAGGAACATTCACCATCTCGAACGGAGGAGTCTTCGGATCGATGTTCGGAACGCCGATCATCAACCCACCACAAAGTGCCATCCTCGGAATGCACGGAGTGTTCGATCGTGTCGTTCCAATCAACGGAAAGGTATATTTGCAGGGACTTCCTTCTCACATTTTCTTTTTGCAGCCGGAGATCCGACCGATCATGCAGATTGCTCTGACCTACGACCACAGACTGATTGACGGCAGAGAGGCAGTCACTTTCCTCAAGAAGATCAAGACGGCCGTCGAAGACCCGCGAACCATGTTCATGAACATCTAAAGCTCCCACCATCATCTTATTCATTTCTTGTCGGTCCCACCTTTTTCTGTCGCTTTCACTCCCCCTTCCTCTAAAGTTAGTAATAAATCAGACAAACTAGGTGCGATCCATCGTTTAGCCTGTCATCTATCGTTCTGTTCGACCCCGTCCTTTTTATTTCGACGTAATCATTACCACCTAAACTGTAATGACCTCTCACGAAGATTGTTTAATGCTAGCTCCGAATTTTTAAATGAAAACACAAAAATCACTGTTTTCCTTCGTTTCCTGTAATCAATCACTCGATTCTCTTTCGAAATGACGTATTTGGGTGATAAAGTGTAACGATAAGGCGAGAAAGCAAAGTGCATCAATTTACAGATCACGTCTATTGGTCGGAACTGAAAAGATGGTGAATTGGAGATCGGCCTTCAGAATTGCTCATTTCATATTTCAGAAGCGGCCCGGAGAAGTAACGCCGATCACGACGCCTTCGAAAATACACAATTGGGTATTGTCGGAGAAGACTCCGGAGAAGAAGAGGGGACCGCCAATGTCCCTGAAACCGAGCCCAACGAAACAAATTGTGAAGAGAAAGTACGGGAGGGAAAGACTTCTGCGTTCTTATAAACAATTTCAGCACTCCACGTGCGGATCCCATCAAAACGTACGTCTTCTTCGACCTGGAATGCACCGGTCTCATCAAGAACGACGAATATCGCAACTTGCCGTGCAATAACTACGAAAAAAGCGACGACTTCTTCCATCATCTGGAGGCGTTCTGCATGCACAGTCCGTTTATTTCTTGCCGATTTCTTTTCTTTCATTTCGCACCAGTTTTCAGCTCGAACCGACGAACTTCCGCATATAACCGAGATGAGTTTTGTGGCGATTTCCCGAGAAACATTTGACGAAATCAAAGAGAAACGGAAAAACGACGCAATGCGCAATGACCAGAATCCAGAAGAGAAGAGGATACTGGCGGAGTACGTGGCGACGAATACACACACGAGACAGCTGAATCCGTTGATAAACGAGGATAAATGGAGGGAGTACGAGAACACGAGGAACAACGATAAAAAGGGTATGGAGGGGATAAAAGTGATGGAATGGAAAGAAGTTATTCCAGAAGTTCTGGTGCATCCGAAGAAGCTCTGTTTGCGGAACAACACTTTCAAACAAGAGTGGCCAGCCGTCGTCAACTTTCTCGATTCTCTCCAGAAACCGGTTCTTTTGGGTAAGCCCGAACTTATCCGTTATCTCTGATCTTCGTTTTCAGTTGGTCACAACGCTCTGCGTTACGACTTGCGAGTGATTTACGGGGAAATGCAAAGAAACGGACTGAGAGACGACTGCAAGCTGCCGGAAGACGTCTTCTTCATGGACTCCCTTCTCATGGCCAAGCAGATCGAAAACGAGGCGTTCAAGAAACTGACAGACATTTGCAAATTCATCGATTTCTCGAAAAGTGAACAAATAGTTTTGAATTAAGAAATTCATTTGATTTTCAGTTTCTCCCAAAGAAGAGGACGAAGAAGTGCAGATAACGGACTCTTCAAACCGTCCGATCGGACGCCCGGTAGCTTCGTCTCGCGGACCCGCCAATGATCATCCGAGACACACGATAAAGTGGGACGAATTCTCCGTGGCTCTCCGGAAACGCATTCCGATGAACGGATTCGTTCGCACTGAAAACGGAGGATGGACGTTCAAGTATGCGGGAACCAACAGATACAAATTGGAAATAATTTACAAGGAGGTAAGACGATCTTAGTTTCTATTTAGATTACCTATTTGTCTTGTTCCAGGTCGTTGGCGGAGAATACACTGCTCACTATGCCCAGCAAGACGCGGAAGCCCTCATGCACACGTGTCTCAGCTACGGTAACGACTTCACCAAGTTCGCCGACGTCTTCGCCGCGCCCATTCCATTCTGATTGCCATCATTCCACTCATTTCTGCTCTCAGAGCACAGCCAAATCTTTTTTACTTTATCCATAATGATTCTCACTTAATATTTCGCTTTACTTGATATTTTATCACCTAATGAAAAACATGCATACAATTTTTTGATTCAACTCATTCATTCAAGGTTCGATGCTTTCGTTCGAA